GAATCACAGAATCATGTAACACAGTAGTTTCATCCACCATTTGACTCATTTTCTCAAGATGGGATTGCACTTGTGGGGCATTATCATCCTTTTGCATGAGATCCTTTATTGTCTGTATTAGACCTTTAATTTTATGAACATTTTTTCTACGTTCTTTTTGTAGTGTTTCAATCTTATTCACCAAGGCCTTGGCAGTCATTTTGATTTTTCTCTTTTGTTCATCCATCTCTGAACCATTTGCGTCTGAGTTTGATTTTGATTCACTTGTTGCCATTTTCCAATATACCACAAATCATCCAAGAATCCGCGCCGTTCAATGAATCAATCCATCCATCAATCAATCGCGGCGTCATAAACCACATCCAATGACCAACAATAAACACCAGCAAACAACAACGCGTCCCCTATGGACGAGCGGCAGTAACCTTTTTACACTGTGTTCAAACAAACAACTTGCACAGCATAAATTAAAAAGTTACATACCGCTTCCGTTGCTGTATTGATCGCGGCCGGGTCTTTATCCTCCGTGCAGTAATGAATGAACCGCCATCCAACAGCAGTACCCGATATATTTCAGTGTTTCCTCTGATATCCAAAGCGTCCTGTTGCGATCCGCGATGAACAGCTCGTTTCCATAGAAAAACACTTTGGTTTACAACAAAGAACTTTTCTGTTGACTATTGTAGCGGCTGTAGACCAGGCAAAATTATCTTTGCAGCCGCGAGAGACTAAACACTGGGAGAATGAATGCACTGCGACGCGCAGAAACAGTTTCACACAGCGATCCACTCATTTATTGCTTCTTGCACATAAAATACAACTGTTAACCAGTTACCAGTTCATAAGTGCAGTGTGATTGCATAAAGTGCGGTCAACAGAAAGTGTTCGCTCCCAGGCTCACTCCCTCTCTGTCAAAGCCCCCATACTCAGGTGCACAGGTGTAGCAAACAAATACGTGCAAGAAACACATCACTTCCGCCCAAGCCCCGGTAGACACGCCCACCACCTACAATCTGAGTGCAGTAAAAATAATGAATGAGACCATAAAACCATAGGAGACTTACAGTTGGCTCTTACAGTCATTCTTAAACTTATTTAAGCAAACATTTGTGGGGTAAAACCTGTGTAGTAACTTCTTTAATTTTATTAGTTAAAAGAAGCTTCTGGGGTAGGGACCAGACTTTCCCCAGTCTAAGTTAAGGTCAAACTTATTCCAATAGAAGGATGCAGAAGAAATAGAGACTAGGTCGGCCTGAAACAGGGATCTAATTTTAGAATTTGAAGCTTTAGAGAAACAGACTTTACCTAACAGAGTCTGAGTTGGATCTGATAAAGGCAGAGAGACCCGAAGGCACAGCATCAAAAACTATTGAGAATTCTCTTGGGCTTACTGGAATCTTATATTTGGCAAGAAATACTGAATAACTGAATAGACCATTCTTATTAAAGAGTTGACTGACTAATAAAATACCGCTGTTGAACCAATTATCGTAAAAAAGCGATTTGTTCTTATAAACAATATTAGAATTGTTCTATATAAAACACCTCTGTGGAGAGAAGTTATTGTACAGCAAAGCCCATGCCAAAAGAGCCTGTTGGTGGAAATCGGAGAGTTTAACTGGGATTTTTTGTATTTTATAGTTACAGAGCAGAATAAATTTTAGGCCACCTAACTCTGAAAAGACATAATGAGAAATAAAATTCCAGATGGAAGTAGGGTTTTTGAGATATTGCTTGATCCAATTTATCTTGAATGTGTTGTTGAGAGAGCTAAAGTCTATGAAATTTAAGCCCCCTTTGTTGTAAGAATTCAGAACTACAGACTTACGAAAATAGTGAGTTTTATTTTTCCATAAAAAATGAAATAGCATCTTATCGACAGATTTACAAAAGGAGTTATCTACATGTAATGACTGAGCAGCATAGGTTAAACGAGAAATACTGATTAGAGCTCTGCCTTTCAGAGAAAGATCTCTTTGTAACCATCGGTTGAAAACCTTTTGAGTTTTTTCAAAGAGGGGAGAAAAGTTTAATGTACCTCTGGCTTATATCTTTAGTGATATGAACACCTAGATATGTGACTGAATCTCTTACAGGGATATTGTACACGACGGAAGCAGAGCAGTTATTCACTGGTAACAGTTCACATTTGCTAAGATTGAGGGTGAGACCGGAAGCTTCGGAAAAAGAGCGAATAAAGTTAATCGCAACTGAAACCTGTGAAGCATAGCAGAAACAGGGCTGTGTCGTCCGCCAACTGACTGATTAAAATATGATTATTTGCCACACTAATGCCTTTAATAGGACTGTTTTTAATGTGTAAATGAAGAAGTTGGGCAGCGAGAAGGAAAAGGTAAACAGAAAGAGGCCACCCTTGCCGTACTCCACGCTTTATATCAAACCTTGGGGATGTACCATTGCTTAATTTAATAGAACTCTTTCCATTAGTGTACAAACCGATCTGCAAAAGAACTGACCAAAACCAACCCTTTTTAAGGTTTCCAATATAAAATCATGCTCTAAAGAATCAAAGGCTTTGTAAAAGTCTATGAAAAAAATAAAACTGTCTTCATGAACTAGCTCAGAGTATAAATCTAAAACCAATCTCACATTATTTGAGATATGCCTATTATGCATGAACCCAGATTGGCTCTCAGTCTCATCAATAATAGAATCTGATGTCAGTCTCTTGGCAAGTATCAGACCAAAAATCTTATAGTCACTATTTAATAAGGAAATGGGGCGCCAATTATCTAACAGAAGAGGATCTTTCTTAGCCCCGTTCACACCGCCAGCGATTTTGTCGCTGTGTGTCGCTCGGCTACTGTGATGTCGCTTGTGGGCGATCCACCGATCCAGTGTTGACAGGTTTGAAACCTGTCGGCTGTATTTCTCATAAAAGTGAAGCCAAACCATGGCAACACCGTGGGTTACTAGTACTCGGTGTTTGGATTGGCGTTATTATTGACTTGAGAGTGGATTGAGTTTATTTTAGTGTTGTGATGGAGCCATCGCAAGTTTGGGAACACTTTAAACTTATTTTCCCGCATAAGATTAGTTCTTTGACATTTCTGCATACAAATATTTTTCATATCTAGTGAATGATATGGAGAAAGACAGAAACTTTAAAAACCCTCTGCTACATTATTCAAGTTCAACCAGTTACACAAGCACATCCTTTCAACATACAAAAATATCAGTCCCACCAGTAAAGTTACAGAGTTCTGGTGGTTCCCATAGGAAAGAAGCAGTAGGAATGTCATGGTTTCAATACTCACGGAAAACATGGTTTAAATGCTAAAAGAAAATGGTCCCTTATTGGTATTTTAATTGAAACCATTAAAATTTCTGATGGTTTCCAACTTTTTTTTAAGCTGGTCTGATCTTCTGTCCTTGTCTAAAGAAATAATTACACACACACATCATCCTTATTGTTTTATTATCAAGGTGAACACATGAAATTCATCCGTATCTGTAAAACCTACATGAGTTTTACAGCACTAACACTGTTTCAGCTTTGATCGCTTCATAAACGGGGCGTTAACACACGCCTACTTGCATTTTATGGTTGTCAGCTTTGTTGCATTACATTTACTTCACCAGGAGATGGTGCTGCAATTTCTATCTGAATGAAGCTTCGAGTAATGAACCATTTTCGACACAATAGTATCAGAAAGCAATAATCTTCTTCTTCTTCTTCTGTGATTTTTATTGGCAGTTTGCAAGCTATGTGCATTACCGCCATCTACTGGAATGGGTGTGATCACATTGGGAGAGAAAATTTAATAAATAAATAACAGAGAGTTAGAGCCCAAGCTTGAAAGCAATAATGCTTCGAAACGCTTCATTTGGCCATCACTGAAGCGTATCTCCATTACCACACCTCTCCTTTGCAAATGCACTTCATCTTATATGACACATTACTGCCATCTGCTGGAGTCAATCATATAACAGCTGTACTCATTACAGCCACTGGGTTTGGGCATTAGTTATGCGTGATTAATATAAGCAGCAGCACAACAGCTCATATGCGCATGTCTCCTAATTATGACCAGAAATGGATCAAGTCTGCTGTTTAAAGCAAATAAAGCTAATGTAGGAGAATAATAATTATGCACAGACACACTAAACTCTGTATTCGTACAGTGTGCGCATGTCAAACAATATCCCGATTTGAAGCGTGTGACAAACACATACATCGACCCAATCACTTGTTCAGCTCTCATGTAAACAGACTGAAACAGAAGCTGCAGGTAAACACAGCCAGTTTGGTCACAGCGCCACATAATGGTCGAAAGTGATAAACCTAAATCATATTACTAGTGTATACTTATGATTTTTTTCAGCCATTTTGCCTAAAATCATCTTAATGTATTTAATTTCTCTCTGTTGCAGTTAACCTGATGCCCCGGGCATGACTGCGGGATCGTGTTCTGATTGGCCCTTAATGGCTGCCTGCTGCTAGCCTTTATCTATTAATCACTTATTTTCTTTTCTTTGTTTTATTCCCTTTCCTGTGAGAAACAAGATGTCAGTGAAGTAATATTCCGTTGATACAGTTAAATTAAATACTGATGTTTGCTGTCGTTTATTTTTCCTGAGGGATGAAGGATCTGTAATGATTTGGTCAGAGAAAATAGAACAAATTATCTTTCTTATTACCATGTTTGGTGATGAAGATTAAAAGTCAGAGAGAGATTTTTATTTTTGCATTTATTCATTTTATCCGAAGTAAGTAAATTACAAATGAGGAGAAAAACAACAGATTCATCAAAGAGGTAAAAACACGGAAACTAAAAGTGTTGAACGCGGAAAACATAATACTGTTGTTTTTTTCTAAAGAAGAAAATGTTCAAGATTTAGTTCTCATTGAAAAGATCAAACAGACACATTATCAGTTTATTATAAAACCAACTGTTGGAGAACTATCCAGCACAGAGACTGATTGGAGGAGTGTGTGAAGTCTGGGTCGATATGATCTGCTCGGGAGAGTCCATTATCAGGAGCAGGAGAAGCGCGCTCGCGAACCTCAGCTCGTGCTCATATCGCGCGTTAGCGACAGGGGTTAATCATGTGCAGATGCTCGAGCTCGTCGCTCTTTGAGAAGCGGGGTTAATGCAGATGTTCGAGGCTGTGTTTAATGGTCATCTCTTCTGAGCTTCTCTTCAGTGGTTTCACCTGGAAACCTTCATCGCTTCTGCGCGAGCCCGTGTCAGATCTGCTCGATGAACCCCGGACACGCGCTAACATGTCTACCAAGGCAGAGCAGTGTAAGTATCATCAAGCTCGCTGTTTTCTCATACATAGATGTAATGGCAGATAATACTGTTTTAACAAGGGTGTGTGTGTGTGTGTGTGCGCGCGAGATGGGAGCGGTGTTGTCAAGGCAACAGTCTGAACGAGCGCGAGGGCAAATGATGACGAACATATGGCTTTAATAACACAGATAAACATGAGAGATTCACGATTATAGATGATGAGTCGCAGAAGATGCGCTGTCTTTTGGTCAAGGTCGAGTAATCAGATGATCACTGAAGCAGAAGCTCGAGGTGTTTAGACGCAGATTACAGCGTGTGTTTGTTCTTCTGATCACACTGATTGTGATGATGATGATGATGATGATGAAGGTCAGCTGTGCCATCTGCTTTCCTCCTGTCCATCATAAACACTGCTGGTCATTTGAGCTTTAACTCACGGTGATCCACACGATCTGTGCTCACACACATCTGATGCACTCAAAGATAACACTTCATCATAACTGATGTCTTTTAGAGGAAGATTGGAGAAGAACAATAATTGACTTAATTGCAACTGTAATTGCACATAAATTGTAACATATTTAGATATTTAAGTTCAGCTTGTGAATGATGGTGATTCATCAGCCAATGTGTTATTATAGGAAATAAATAGAAACATTTGCTAACTTAAACTTAGCCTAGTTTTTATAGCACAAAATATCAAATAATAAAAGAGTGCTAACTTTTAGAAAATGTATAAATTACTTTTGATATAATTACTATTATATCAATATATATTTTTAAAGTTTTAATGTAAAATACTTAATCAACTATTCTATTTAAACTTAAATTTTGATAATTTAGTGATGAAAGTAATGAAAGCAGAATCACAGTAAAAGAGATTCACCTGAAATGTAAAATGACTCTACTACTTAATTATATATATGAATATTATTTACTTATTGAATTTTCCATATTTTAATCACTATTTTTCCTAATTTTTTTGATTTCATTTAATTAACCCGTAGGTATTAATGAAAATTAAGATAACTGTACATCTAACTCATGGAAATATTAAATAATAATCCAATTAATTACAATAATTATTAAATATAAAAAAATGAACCGATAGTAACATCATGCCACTCGGGTCCTTCTGTGCTAATGGCCCATCTTATCCCAAGATTCAAATTTTATCCCTTTTCCCTCATAATAAAAGATTTATCTGTCCACAGATCCCTCATTAACAAACAAAAAACTCTGATATTCTGCATAATATAAGGTCATAAATCTCAATTTTATTTTCCAGAGACACACAAAGATAAATGAACCTCAAAACTGTTTGAGCAGCTGACTAAATCTCACAAATGTTGATATCCAGGACAAAATTAAGAATTGCATGTTCATCAAGAGAGATGAGATAGTGTCATCTATTGTGTGGTCAGGAGCAATAATGAAGAAGGGTCATCTGACTCTTAATCTACCCTGTTATTATATCATTTACTCTACAGAGCAAACATGAGGAATACAGGACTTTGTGTTTATGTGTGCTGAATATGGGCTGGAAAATCATGAGATAAAACGATCTTGCTGCATCTCATCATGTTAACACTGTACTTAAATATAAACGTTGTCTGTAATAATTTAATTAAATTCACAGTATTCACAGTACTGTTTCAAAGCAGCTTTACATAGTCCGCATTACTGTCTAAGTTATGTTTTTCAGAAAAAGTACATTCAAATCATACAGTTAGCTAGTAATGTATTAATTTAAAAAGAATATTAATTTGAGGCAGAAACAATGAGGTCATTGAAGTAATGAACATGTTTGTTTACAAATGATATAATAATTGTTCATAGTGTAATTAGGCATGGGCTGGTATTCGTCGCATAAATCGCGGTAATAAATATGCAGAATATTGTTATCGTGGCCACTTCAAAATACCGTGAAAAATAATAGATCCGAATTTAGATTTTTAGAAAGCCTCAGGTCCCGCCTCACCTCAGGTTCTGCCTTCAGCTGGCGTGAGCACTGGCTCAGGGTTCAGCTCAGGACGGATCGCGTCTCACATCGGGTTCTGCCTTTGCCTGGCATGGCTCAGGATCCAGCTCTAGCTCAGGACGAGTCGTGCTTCACCTCGGGCTCTGCCTTCGGCTGGCATGAGCACTGGCTCAGGATCCAGCTCTAGCTCAGGTCTGGTAGCACCTCACCTCGGGTTCTGCCTTTGGCTGGCGCTGCTGAGGGTCCATCTCTAGCTCAGGGCGAGCTATGCCTCACCTCGGGTTCTGCCTTTGGCTGGTTTTGCTCAGGGTTCAGCTCTAGCTCAGGGCGAGTCGTGCCTCACTTTGGGTTCTGCCTTTGGCTGGCGCTGCTGAGGGTCCATCTCTAGCTCAGGGCGAGCTATGCCTCACCTCAGGTTCTGCCTTTGGCTGGTTTTGCTCAGGATCCAGCTCTAGCTCAGGTCTGGTAGCACCTCACCTCGGGTTCTGCCTTTGGCTGGCGCTGCTGAGGGTCCATCTCTAGCTCAGGGCGAGCTGTGCCTCACCTCGAGTTCTGCCTTTGGCTGGTTTTGCTCAGGGTTCAGCTCTAGCTCAGGGCGAGTCGTGCCTCACTTTGGGTTCTGCATTTGGCTGGCGCTGCTGAGGGTCTATCTCTAGCTCCGGGGGAGTCGCGCCTCACCTCAGGTTCTGCCTTCGGCTGGCATGACTCAGGGTCCATCTCTAGCTCAGGGCGAGTCGTGCTTCACCTCGGGTTCTGCCTTCGGCTGGCGTGAGCACTGGCTCAGGGTCCATCTCTAGCTAGGGCGGGTAGCGCCTCACCTCAGGTTCTGCCTTTGGCTGGCGCTGCTGAGGGTCCAGCTCTAGCTCAGGACGGGTCGCGCCTCACCTTTGGCTCTGCCTTCGGCTGGTGTGGCTCAGGGTCCTGCTCAGGAGGGATCGCGCCTCACCTCGAGTTTTGCCTTCAGCTGGCGTTGCTCAGGGTCCAGCTCTAGCTCAGGGCGAGTCGCGCCTCACATCGGGCTCTGCCTTTGGCTGGCGTGGCTCAAGGTCCAGCTCTAGCTCAGGGCGAGTCGCGCCTCACATCGGGCTCTGCCTTTGGCTGGCGTGGCTCAAGGTCCAGCTCTAGCTCAGGGCGAGTCGTGCCTCTGGTTCTGCTTTCGACTGGTGTGAGCACTGGCTCGCTGCTGAGTCCAGTTTGATTGCGGGTGACTGGAAGCAGCTGAGGAACTTGCTCTCCTGGGCAGAAACGCTGCATGGCCTGCGACGTGTACTGCGCTGCTGTGAAGCCATCCACTGCAGCGTCCTTGATTTCCGTCAAGTTGAGCCAAAGTTGGTGCTCGATGTCACCAGACTGGCCATGGTGTGCCCGATCGCTCTGGCTTTAGCAGTGCAGATCTCTGAAGTAGTGCTGGGCGGTATGACCAAAAATTAAAAATTCATTTAACAAAAATAAACACCGGTATTCGGTACGAACTGTTATTCGGCCCAGCACTACTCTGAACGTCGCCGGATTTGGGCCGTGCTCATCCATTATGAGCTTGGCCGGATATACTTGAAGGACTGACGTATGGTGGAGGGTGGAGTCAGCCTGGCCACTTACAGCTAACGCTCTGCCCTCAAGCTTAGACATTGTCCTAATGGGAAGCCTCTGTCTTCCAGCCGAGGGCCGTGAGTGGGTAACAGGTGTGCGGCAACAGCTTCTTCCAGTGTGGGAAGCTTGGTATAGCCCTTTTCTCTGCACGTCAGCCGTGGTGAGGGAAGCTGAAAAGGAAGAATTTCAGTTTGACTTATATAGGCAGTCGCCCCAATTTATCAGGCTTTAGTGTTCTGAGAAAACGGAGTGTCCCCACAGCGAGAGAGAGGAAATGTCTCACTCAGTGTGAGGGAACCGGATCGAAAGGGAACGTGGAATATAGATTGAGATTGAAAATGAACTACAGTTATGACTCTTTCAGAATAGTTTAATGTTGTTCTGGAGATTGACAGGCCAAATCCCTGTTCACTCTCATGCAGCACAGTCCCATCCCAAGACGTCAGCCAACTGACGCTTTTGATCATAAGTCAACCTCCGACGTTTTAGGGTACCCTTTAACGTCAGTTAGATGACGCTATCTAATCCTAACCCTACCCCAGACCTAAACCTACCCGCGTCATCTAACTGACGTTTAAGGTAAAGCGTCTACTGGATGACGCCCTAGGATCGTCATCTAACTGACGTTAAAGGTTACCCTAAAACGTCGGATGTTGACGTATGGTCAAAAGCGTCAGTTAGATGATGTCTTGGGATGAGAATGTGTTATCTCATGTGGAAAAGAGTTACGCAGACATTGGCACAGATTTGAATGGAAATTATTGTTTTAAATAATTTATTCATCCAACTGTTGCCATAAATATGAAGGCACAGAATTCTCGAGAATACCATATAATTAAGATCTGTCTTGTAAAGACAAAGTTCCTGTTCAAGTGTCAAAATATGCATAATATGTACCTAATTCATGTACCTAATTTTCTGACAATTAAATTGGGATTTGTTTGGTCCATGTGAGACTATTTACAGCCATCAAAAAATACTGATCCCTTCAATCTTCTTCTGAACTATTGGATAATATTTAATTTTTTCATGGTTGGATAGAAAACAACATAAAATAGAAAAAAAGCATCTGTACCCAGCACGAGAATGTGAAATATTTGGGAATTCACCCAAGGACCACATATGATTATTGAAGAATAATAAGTTAGAAGTGCAGTAGATTTAAGACAAGAATCTGAATTATTCTAAATTGAAGAAAAACTTTACTGAAGATAGCTTGCAGTTTTATCAGCAGAAGTTCAGCTTCAACAATCACAAGAGTTCGTAGGCTGCCCCTACAGTGACAAAGATCAGCAGTCATAACCTTCACCAGGTCTAAGCTACGCCCTTGCTTCAGGTTTAATGATTCTGATTGGCTAAGAAATAGATGCACTCATGGACAGATAGGCAGTAGCACATCGGCTGCACCCAGGAGCCTGAGTTAGGGACCAGTGGCCCTCCGAGGTCACAAGACACAAGTGTGTCTAGTCGCCAACATGTTAAAGATAACAAGTCAGTCCATCTCTCTTATAATGCCACGTGTTTCTTAACCTGAAACCAAGAATACTAACACACACTCAGACACACAGCTTCTTCAAGCTTGGATTTGGTTGGGCTCTAACTATAAACAGGAGACTGTTCTTTCTCTCAATGAAAGGACACTTTAATATGGAACAGTAATATAGAAATGCTGAGAAATGGTCACACAAACTATTGGTTCCAATGACCCTTCTGACATATAGTTGTCACGGTGAGCTAGAAGAACAGATATACGTTTTAAACCATGTTGAAGACCTTTCTCAAACAAAACGAGTCCATATTTCATCTCTGGAAGCGGGGCTAAATGATCAAGCACTGTTACTGTATTCCTGGCATGGGCCAGACCCTTCAGTCTTCAGTTACAGACATTAGAGAATACATGAAAGAACATTTCAGTAATCACACTGGAAACTTCTAGAACAAAGTAAAATCTCATGAGCCTAGAGAAGTCATTCAACTTCGTGTCATATTTAGAAGGAAAACGATTGATTAATACCTTGATTATAACCACTCACTAGATATACATTGAAGCAGCAGGGGCTTCCAGACTCCTCCCCTTCAGAAGTGTGTTGTTGATCTCTCTCTGATGTGGAAAACAAACTTCAAATGGCAGCAAGTTAGAAAACATGTCTTGTTTCAGCTGTAACGGTGTGAAAATACAGACTTGAAAGTCCTGCTGTTTCAGAAAGATGGACTGATTTACTGTTCAGTCAAAGCCAGTGGATTGTTGAACACTGCTGAATGTTAATTATGTGTCACTCTGCTCTTTATTTGTTTAGTTGGCTCTAAGATTCGATACTTGCAAGAGTATCACAACCGTGTGCTTCACAATATTTACCCAGTGCCATCGGGAACAGACATTGCAAACACTCTGAAATACTTTTCCCAGACGCTGCTCAGGTAAGTGCACTACACTGGAGATAGGGCAAACACACACTTCATTCGCTTTAACATGAATGATAGGCAGATCTAGAGTCAGTGTTCAATATGCAGGACATCATGTCAAAAGTTATACAAAGGACACATTGTAAATAAACTGTTCAAGAAGAGAGACAAACAACAACCTGTTTTCCAGTTCAGTCAAGGAAATCTTGACTTGTTTTGTTTGTCCTTAATTTTTGTCTTTTAAATGTCAAGCCTTTTAAACTACAATATTGGCTACTACTGAATTATAGTTATACTCACAAGTTCGTGTTATTTAGGCCTATGTGTTGGAGCACTCCTTCATGTTTATTGTTCACGTATCAATGAAAACAATTAACTCTTTCCCTGCCCACGTTTTTTTTATTTAAAGGGTAACGAAACCCCTGGTCAGCGCCTGACTCCACCCACTGGCAATATTTTGAAAATGCTGAAAAAGTGGGCAAACCCCAGCAGAGATAGAGGGGACGAAATAGACGCTAAAACTCTCTGTCCTGATCGTTTTCAATACTCACAATTCCAACTCCTGAATCGCTACAGCTGGTTTTGACGAATAAAGCTGTTTTTTATACTGCCGCTCGTACCAAGAGCGTGGTGAGCTGAAACCTGCGTATGTCACGAAGTGCGGAACATCCAATAGGAAAATTCAACTGCAGTAGCCACCGTTCAACCAGAAGAGGGCAGAACTAAGACGTTTTTACACCATATATTGTAGAAATAAAACACTTTATACACAAATGTCAAAAAAGTTACTCAAATCAATGACTGGTATTAATAAAGATCCATTCTTACAGATCATAAAAGTTGGTTTAGGGCTTAGTTACTCTTTAAGTGTCCAGCTGCCGCCAGTATTGTGGATTATATTCACAAAACTTCCATGGCCTCTAGAATAATTAATTTGTTAACATGCAATAGATCAGAAGAAAGAACAGAACCTCTTCTTTTAAACAAACAAAAAAATTATTTTAGCAACTTCATGCAATCTTTTTTATCAACACCTGAATGTGAGTAAGAAAAAATAATACAAAATTTTGATCAAAAAGCTGAGATAATCACTTTTTTTTCAAAGACTACAATGTGCAATGCTTTTATCGCTTGTTGTTTCTTCTTCTTCATTTTGATTTGGAGATTCTGTCCTCTTTCAGAAAATGTGTAATAGCGCCCCCTACCGTATAACAGTGAAAACACGGAAAGCCGGAAAACTCCGTCAATGGCTGGGAAAGAGTTAATAAAGGAGCATGCATTGACACTAGATAGAAGACGTGCTCAATAATTTAGAGAAAGTTTAGCATCTGAGAACATTGTGTAGTAGTATTTGTGTGTGATTCCTGTTGTGTTTGTGTGTTAAAAGATCTGTCATAAAGAGTAAATGAATGAGTGTATTGTCTGTGAGTATGCAGGGACTGATTTCCATAGTTTTTAGTGGGTTTAAAATGTCAAGAAGCTGTTCTTCATGTAGCATTCTGCAGTCGAACCACCTCTCATTCCCTGACAGACAGGGCCTTTAGCTTTGATCAGAGAGATAGTACACCATCCTGTTTTATGTAACACACATCAAACTACGCTCTCCTCTCCCTCCAAGACCATCACAGACCAAATTTCTGCAGAGGTAGAAGTTGACAGGGGACAGCAGACACAAACACCCTCCACATCCCTCCACAAACATGACACATTGCTTTCGAAACCAGTGTATTCCTTTTCCATTACAGTTTTCCCCAGCCCTAGACTAGCTACATTTCTGTTAGAATTGAAATCCATATGCCTGTCGAACCATTATTTCTCTTCCCTGAAATGATACTGAGGCAGTATCATAATGTATTTACATACAGACATTCTTTTTGACGGTGCAATAAACATGTGTTGTGACCAGGGATCTTTTAGTCTAACCTCACATACATGTTTATTACTGGCTGAAGCATGTTTCTGAAGTGTCATCTCTGTATCGTCCTCAAAACTAATTATTTCGAGATTGCTCTCATCTCTGACAGCCCCTCCATTGCTCAGTATTTCCCTACGGCTGACCGGCCCGCGCCCCTCGTCCTCCGGGGATTGGCCGCTCGGAGGGCGCGTCGCGTGCGCGTCAAAGGCGAAGTACGGGGCTGCCACTGAAAACATGCCATTTTTTATAGTTTTGCTACTTGTCACCAGATACGCATGAGATGCAGTGATCGGTGCGCGTTTGCCAAGCGCCCGTTTGGTGGCTGCTTGAGTTTCAATCTGAACCAAAACCAAATTTCAATTGCAAAGATGATTCTGGCACATCCAAAAGTCTGTGGAGACACTGCATCCTATGTGGGAAATATCTGGCTTTGGTTCTTTTCTACTTACGCTGTCTCTGTAGAGCCATTTCAATGTAATGTGCTGTTTCTTTGTGTCTTTGTTGTCTCTTTTTTTCCCCTGTTCCCCTCCCTCCCCCACCCTCCCTCGGAGCAGCATCCTGTCCCGTACAGGCAGAAAGGAGAGCCAGGAAGCTTCCAATTTGGCCGTGCCCATGACCATGTGTCTTTTTCCTGTGCCATTCCCACTCACCCCATCTCTAAGACCACAAGTCAGTTCCATCAACCCTACAGTTACTCGATCCCTCCTTTACAGCGTTCTGCGGGACGCCCCGGCCGACCGGGCTGGCGCCCCCCAGCAGAGTCGGGAGGTTCAGCTCTCAGATTACCCCTCACTGGACTATCAGGGGCTCTATGCCACCCTCGTCACCTTGCTTGACCTGGTACCCCTGCTACAGCACGGTCAGCATGGTGAGTCCACGTTGCTTCCCTTCCTCAGGTGCTCCTAGCCACGTCTCTCAGAGCGAGATCCAGTTGTTCCTCATGTGCTCCTGGCCTCTTCTCTTAGAGCGAGATCCAGTTTAATCTTTGGGTTCTCCTAGCCTCATCTCTCAGAGCAAGATCCAGTTTAATTCTCAGTTGCTCCTGGCCTCGTCTTTGAGACCGAGATCCAGTTTAATCCTCAGGTTCTCTTGGCCTTGTCTCTGAAAGCGAGATCCAGTTAATCCTCAGGTGCTCCTGGCCTCGTCTCTGAGAGAAAGATCCAGTTAATCTTTAGGTTCTCCTGGCCTCGTCTCTTAGGGAAAGATCCAGTTAATCTTTAGGTTCTCCTGGCCTTATCTCTGAGAGCGAGATCCAGTTGAATCTTTAGGTTCTCCTGACCTCGTCTCTGAGAGCGAGATCCAGTTTAATCCTCAGGTTCTCTTGGCCTCATCACTGAGAGCGAGATCCAGTTAATCCTCAGGTTCTCTTGGTCTCGTCTCTGAGAGCGAGATCCAGTTAATCCTCAGGTTCTCTTGGTCTCGTCTCTGAGAGCAAGATCCAGTTAATCCTCAGGTTCTCTTGGTCTCGTCTCTGAGAGCGAGATCCAGTTAATCCTCAGGTTCTCTTGGCCTCGTCTCTGAGAGCGAGATCCAGTTAATCCTCAGGTTCTCTTGGTCTCGTCTCTGAGAGCGAGATCCAGTTAATCCTCAGGTTCTCTTGGTCTCGTCTCTGAGAGCGAGATCCAGTTAATCCTCAGGTTCTCTTGGTCTCGTCTCTGAGAGCGAGATCCAGTTAATCCTCAGGTTCTCTTGGTCTCGTCTCTGAGAGCGAGATCCAGTTAATCCTCAGGTTCTCTTGGCCTCGTCTCTGAGAGCGAGATCCAGTTAATCCTCAGGTGCTCCTGGCCTTGTCTCTCAGAGCAAGATCCAGTTTAATCATTAGGTGCTCCTGGCCTTGTCTCAGAGAGTCAGATCCAGTTTAATCCTCAGGTTCTTTTGGCCTTGTCTCTCAGAGCGAGATTCAGTTAATCCTCAGGTTTTTTTGGCCTTGTCTCTCAGAGCAAGATCCAGTTTAATCCTCAGGTTCTCCTGGCCTTGTCTCAGAGAGTCAGATCCAGTTTAATCCTCAGGTGCTCCTGGCCTTGTCTCAGAGAGTCAGATCCAGTTTAATCCTCAGGTGCTCCTGGCCTTGTCTCAGAGAGTCAGATCCAGTTTAATCCTCAGGTTCTCCTGGCCTTGTCTCAGAGAGTCAGATCCAGTTTAATCCTCAGGTGCTCCTGGCCTTGTCTCTGAGAGCAAGACCCAGTTTAACATGCGTTAATAAGATTACGTTAATAAGTTAACTAGATGGGCGGTGCTTTCGAGTCAAACAAATACGCTTAACGCTCTAAGAACCGGTACCTGCTAACTCTTTCCTCGCTATTTACTGAATTTCTTGTCAATCCATGTTTTACTGCTGTTTGGTAAGGGTCGCTGTTATGCATCTTTTAAAAGAGTGTAAGGCAAAGAAGAAGAAGAAACAAGAGATAAAGGCCCTGTCCCAAATTCCACAATTCATCTGCATGTTCCATTGCGGTCGATATGCGCCCTCGATTTGCACTTTTGCCTAGCATGCACTGATGTGATCTCCGCAGCAGACTTCTTTCCGACAGTCAAAGCGGCATTATGTCCGGAAGTGCAGACTCATAGGACGACTGTGTGTGTTTTGGGTGGCATTTGGGACAGGGCCATAAAAGAGCTGTCTCATAAATGTCTCATTTAAGTGTCTTGCTCAGGGACACTTTGGTGTCTCACAGTGGATTCGAACCTGGGTCTCTCACACCAAAGGCATGTGTCTTATCCACTGTGCCATCACCACCGCCCTATTTTTAATCTAGTGGTTAAATGAGACCGCCTTGATGATGTACAGTGTATCCTGAAAGTATTCACAGTGCTTCACTTTTTCCACATTTTATGTTACAACCTTATTCCAAAATGAAGTTTGAAAATCTTTGCTAATTTATTAAAAAAAATAACAAATCACTGGTGCTTCACATTGCCACCTAGCCGTCTGGAGTGCATACTACATTGAATTTCACACACTTTTGCATCACCATATGCACGCAGATTTCCCACCCATAACGCTCGTCTAAACGCAGAATGAAAAGTAATAACGCAATGCCACTTTTGCGTTTTTTCTTCAGATCATTTCCGTGTAAACATAGCCTATATAAGGTCCCACAGTTAACAGTGTATGTCAGAGCACAAACCAAGCCATGAATTCCAAGGAATTGTCTGTAGGCCTCAGAGACAGGATTGTATTGAGGAACAGATCTGGGGAAGGGTACAGAAACATGAAGATCCCAATGAGCATAGTGGCTGCCATCATCCGTAAACGGAAGAAGTGTGGAACCACCAGGACTCTTCCTAGAGCTAAGCAATCGGGGAGAGAAGGGCCTCAGTCAGGGAGGAGACAGAGAACCCGATGGTCACTCTGGCAGAGCTCCAGAAGAACAAACATCTTGCAGCACTCAACCAATCAGGCCTGAGAACATTCTAGAAGAACAACCATCTTTGCAGCTCTCTACCGATCAGGTCTGAGAACCTTCTAGAAGAACAACCATCGTGTGTGTGAGCGACGGTATCGCGGAGGAGTGTGTGTGAGCGACGGCATCGCGGAGGAGTGTGTGTGAGCGACGGCATCGCGGAGGAGTGTGTGTGAGCGACGGCATCGCGGAGGAGTGTGTGTGAGCGACGGCATCGCGGAGGAGTGTGTGTGAGCGACGGCATCGCGGAGGAGTGTGTGTGAGCGACGGCATCGCGGAGGAGTGTGTGTGAGCGACGGCATCGCGGAGGAGTGTGTGTGAGCGACGGCATCGCGGAGGAGTGTGTGAGCGACGACATCGCGGAGGAGTGTGTGTGAGCGACGGCATCGCGGAGGAGTGTGTGTGAGCGACGGCATCGCGGAGGAGTGTGTGTGAGCGACGGCATCGCGGAGGAGTGTGTGTGAGCGACGGCATCGCGGAGGAGTGTGTGTGAGCGACGGCATCGCGGAGGAGTGTGTGTGAGCGACGGCATCGCGGAGGAGTGTGTGTGAGCGACGGCATCGCGGAGGAGTGTGTGTGAGCGACGACATCGCGGAGGAGTGTGTGTGAGCGACGGCATCGCGGAGGAGTGTGTGTGAGCGACGGCATCGCGGAGGAGTGTGTGTGAGCGACGGCATCGCGGAGGAGTGTGTGTGAGCGACGGCATCGCGGAGGAGTGTGTGTGAGCGACGGCATCGCGGAGGAGTGTGTGTGAGCGACGGCATCGCGGAGGAGTGTGTGTGAGCGACGGCATCGCGGAGGAGTGTGTGTGAGCGACGGCATCGCGGAGGAGTGTGTGTGAGCGACGGCATCGCGGAGGAGTGTGTGTGAGCGACAGATCTCGAGCTGTGGTTAGAACCAGAGTTTGTGCATGACATGTGGACTCAGTAAATCCTCATCTTGAGCAGAATAATCAAGCTGACATTCAGTGCAATCTGGATCTTTTTTTTAGAATACTTACAAAAGTAGTTTACATCTTTGAGTTTGTCAAAGGTTTTATAGCGTAGTTTTTGAAGAGTGTGCGTGTGTGAACGAGCTCTAGTGCGTAAGAACGAGCCAATAATTGAATCTGGAAATACAGCGAAATAACTGAGGAGAATAAGAAATAGTGCTCAGACGTCTGTAATTTATAGCAAAGCATCTCGCATTAATTCCATCTCAGACAGATTCATTAACTGCAGTTATTACTCCAACACATGCGTGACATCATCAACCAACATGCTTGAACGACCCATTTGTGATAACATGGTTTCAGGAAACAGTCGGGACTCGCTAGTTGATTAACTGTATCGTACTACGGTAGTTAAGCGAATTACAGCGCTGTACGGGACACACACACCCCTGGCTGATGAATCAGTCATGGTTTGACCACTGTGAGATTATCAGCAGAAATCCGTCGTTCTGTCTACTGACATTGCCAATAAAAACTTCATCTCTAGTTACTGGAGTCATATCTAAACTCAAAGTCTGCCATCGAATGCTTTAATTTTACAATTCAGTGTTCTGTCAGTCTGAGCGCTCAGACTGGAGAACGACTCGTACAGTAGGACAGCTGAAGATGTGTTTGCACCGCTAGTGTTTCATTATATAGACTTTAGATGCATTTAGAAGCCGTAATGTCTCGGTCTGTCCGGAGACGAGCGCTTGTGGAGCTGCACGAGTCTCGGTTTGGGCTGTGGAGGACGGGCTGCTCATTCGCTCATCTGCTTGTGTTTCAGATCTGGGGCAGGCCATATTTTACACCACAACATGCCTTCTGCCTTTCCTTAGTGATGATATTCTCAGCACGTTACCCTACACCATGATCTCCACTTTAGCCACCTTCCCTCCGTTCCTGCACAAAGACATCATAGAGTACCTGAGCACATCCTTCCTGCCCATGGCCATCCGTGAGTATACGCGCCAGAGAGGCTTCTGCAACATCATGGGACGCTCGTGCACTGTGACGTGAGGACATGTGTTCTGTGTTGCAGTGGGTTCGACCCGAAGAGAGGCCGGCATCCCAGCGTATGTCAATCTGTCCGCCTCGTCCATGCTGATGATCGCCATGCAGTACACCTCGAACCCAGGTACATCCGCACCCATCAGCCTCAGGGCACGTCTCTATCCCAGTGCAGCGTTTCTGGACACTAAATGTTGTGACTGTTCCTTGTCTTCAGTCTACCACTGTCAGCTTCTGGAGTGTCTCATGAAATACAAGCAGGAAGTGTGGAAGGTAAGGATCGGTTCTTCATGTCTTTTTGGAGATTTCTCCAAAAGCACTTCCCACTGACTCCGAGATGTGTTTTTAAAGGATCTTCTGTACGTCATATCGTACGGCCCGTCCCAAGTCAAACCCCCGGCGGTTCAGATGCTCTTCCACTACTGGCCCAACCTCAAGCCTCCGGGTGCCATCAGTGAGTACAGAGGTCTGCAGTACACAGGTGAGACCTCTCCGCATGAGGGTTTACACGCTCAAACACACACACAAAGCCACACGCAGGAGCGTCTGTGTTGAGAATAGACATGCACCGATATGACATTTCTCAGCCGTTATTCTGAATATCTGCCGAGACCCAAATAATGCTGCAAACTCTACCGGGAACCCTCTCTTATGGTGCACTGTAATAGCAGTAGCAATTAACAACAGAGGTATTATATGTAATATTATAAATAATAGATGTAATAATTACACCCAAATAAAAGCTTGAATGTTTGTAACTCAGTTGCACATATAAGGTAGTTTTCATAAGCACTTGTCTTTATGGCATTTTTCTTCAAACATTCATATATAATTAACAGTAAATAAGCTCTTTAGTGTTTTTTATAGCTAACCAACGGGTGACTTTCCTGAGGTAAAGGCCACGATAACTGATAATTGTTCGCAAGCTGTTTTATTGTCGTCTTTCCACAGTTGGAACACTGATTGAGATAATAAATGAGACATGATACAGATTTCGGTTAGTTGTACTATACATTTCAACTGGTATTCATGTATGTTTTTCTAGACATTCTCTAGACATTTTCTAGACATCTAATTTGTATTAACACGTGCCCTCTGCGCTACAGCGATCTCACCTCACATTTCAGAGTGTCAAAATGTCATTTATTGTTTGAATTTCCTGATAAAATGGACAGAATTTGAGAGATGACTCTTTTGTAGTAACAGAGCACAAAACTCTTGCGATTACTGGATCAGAGGCGCGCTACAAATATTGTTTAGTATAAAGAATTACTGCAGATCTCACTTGACCTACGGGTGGTTCATAGGGTCAAATAAAGCCTGCTTTTATGTAGCCGTTTGTCACATTAACTTAATTCAACTTAATTAACACCCTTATTAAAGACGAGAGATTTTCTTAGCGATAGCCAATAGTGAAAATAATAGCTTTTATTGGCCGATACCGATTATACATCGGTGCATCTCTAATGGACAATTATTCTGGGGTTTTAATTAATAATTATTATTTAATTAAAATGATTTTATTGTCATCAGTGTTTCATTGAGGAAATGTGAATAACAAATATTGATTAGGTCTTGATTAAGTTTTACCATTCGGCCAATAGATTAGGAACGTACATCTCTGAAACTGCAGATCCAGCTCACTCGTCTCTTCTCTGAGACATGGAGACAGTTCTCGGGTCAGTGCACTGTTGACCCGAGAACCGTTCGAGAGAGTTCGGTTTAGGAATCAGAATGGTTTGTTCCAAAGAAGAGTCGCTAGCTCAGCATTATCATGACTAGCATTACTCGTTAGATTGTGGGATGTGTTCGAGAGTCACGGTGTTGAATAGAGACGCTCTCATCTGATTCAATCTGACGTGGAGAACTGGTTCAAAGATTCACATTCTGAAGGATGTCTTGTTCACCAACTGGACGTCCCAGTGACTGACCTCCTCCTCCTGATATCTACACGTGTTTTTTTGTGCGTCCCGCCACAGCCTGGAACCCCATCCACTGCCAGCACATGGAGTGCCAGAACTCGATTAACAAGCCGGCTGTGAAGGTACTGTAGCTCTTCACCTCTGTTTGTGTTACTGTAATAGTCTAATATATTGAGGGTTTTGTGGGATTGTGGGTTTTTTAGGGAAGGATTGTGTGAATGAGACAGCCCTTAAAATGGCTAAGACTGATTGAGACTTAGCCTGGGAAAACACAAGGGCTTAAAATGAATAAAGACACGTGAGCTAGAAACAAGAACCTCAGAATAAAAGCATGCACATCCCCAGAATCAGGACACAAATACACGCAGGAAACGATTGATAGATTTTCCCAGTAAGCCTTTGCTCAGTGCAGTCGAGAGCCGGAGGAGACGAGCTGGAACTCGATTACCGAGAGCTGTGAACATCATGAACGTGAACATCATCCTTCACAGAGACCCTCTCCACAAGATATTACAAATCAGCAGTCACACGCTGTAACAGAGCTAGAAGAATTATTATGATCATCACAAACCTGCAGTGATGATAAGTACTGTACTGCTGTGTTACTACATATGGTCACTTCCCTCAGCAATGCTTCATTTACACCGCAGTGAAACTGCCCCCCAAAACAGAAGATGCACTAATGGCGCTTTTCCACGACACAGTACCAGCTCGACTCGACTCGGCTTTGTTTGGTTTTCCACTGTGTGAAAGTTATACCTGTTCCTGCTTTCGGTACTTTTTGTGTATCACCTCCGGCGAGGTTCTGAGCGAGCTAAGGCGAGCCGAGGCGATAGGTGTCTGGCTGTGGTGTGTCTGTGGTCTGTGTGTTTGGCTCTGGTGTGTGTGTGTGTGTGTGTGTGTGTGTTTGGCTCTGGTGTGTGTGTGTGTGTGTTTGGCTCTGGTTTGTCTGTGGTCTGTGTGTTTGGCTCTGGTGTGTGTGACAGTGTGTTCGTGTCTTCTAGATGTGCATCGACCCGACGCTCTCGGTGGCTCTGGGAGACAAGCCCCCGCCGTTATACATCTGCGAGGAGTGCAGCCAGAGGATCGCTGGGTAAGCCGGCTCATCTTGAGGGGTCACGGGGGGCAAGATCCTTTAGAAAAGGGTTATTTGATAGCACAGTTACAGAGAGAGAGGACTGGGGATCTCAATCACTGTTGATTCCGTACGTTAGGATGGTTAACTTCAAGTATAATACACAATAGCAGCAGTTGACCAGACAGCGTAACACTAATGCTCAACACTTTACGAAGGACCCGTCTGACGGTACATTCACTGCAGACGCTGTGACAGCACTGGTGCAAACTGGAGAACAAGATGATTTTGCAGCTTGGATTCAATCCTTGCAACAGCGAAGGAAGCCCTTTTGAGCCCTTATGTTAAACTCAACAAAACTCAGGCAATATTTGATTCTGTATGTAATTTTTATCAGCCTTGGAAAGAGAAGCAGTTTTCCAGCTCTTATTAGATGGTTAGCGTCAGAACTTCAGAGAAGGAAGTAAATGTGAGAATGTTTGTGTTAAGGTTCCTGAAGTTCTGTTGTTCTTTCACAGCGATCACGCCGAGTGGCTCGTGGACGTGCTTCTGCCGCAAGGTCAGTATCAGAGCGTCTTGGTTACGTATGTAACCCTCGTTCCCTGAAGGAGGGACGGGAGACGTAGTCATACTTTTAAAAGTACGTTTACTTTTTAAACAGCCAATGCACATTGGGGTGTGAGATCTGTATCGACTACGTCTCCGTTCGCTCCTTCAAGGATCAAGGGTTACACACGTACCCGAGATGTTCCCTTTCAGTCACTCACGTTCAACTTCAAATCAGCAAGAGGAACCGTCTCTATCGCATTCTTCGCCAGTAGGACTGTGATCTCTATGCACATGATAGGGGCATGTTCGCTCAACACCGAAGTGTAACGAACACCGAGTCTGATGGTACGGAGGCACCAGCTGGACTGGTTGGGAAGCACTCTCCAGGCTTCCACAAACCGGGTCAGGGGGACCAGAGGCTCCACAGATGTACCCGTGGTGGGGCAGCGCCTGAGACGGGCTGGGCGGTGTGCCTGCGGCTGGCTCCACACTGAGGCGTGGGTGGAGGACCTGTGGAGGCCCAGCAGAAGCGGCGGCAGGAGGACACCCTCTGCGACAAGCAGGTGGAGAAACTCCTACCAGCGGCGGGGTGGAGGCAGCAGTGGGCCGCCGGGGCGGGATCTGCTGGATGGCCTCCGTCTGCGCTTCGGCGCAGTTCTCCACTGTGTCTCCGAAGATCCCAACCTGGGAAATTGGGGAGTCTAGGAACCAAACCTTGTCCACATTTGCCATATCAACCAGGCTGAGCCAACAATGGTACGCCTGGACCACCAGACTGATCGCTCAAGCCACAACGCTTGTGCCCCAGATGACCCAGTCTGTTGCAGTGGGGAGCTCACTCAAGAGCGCACGGTACCCTTGTGCATGTCCATGAGTGCCTTGGCCCGATAGACCTGTAGCAACCCCACGGCATCCAAAAAGGGAAGCAGTTTGCCTACAGGCTTCGCAAGCTCAGCCCGTAAGAATGGCCGAGAACTCACAGGCCTGAGAGGAGATGAGGATCACCCAATCCAAGAGGCAGGCACCGCCGGACACAGGTGTGCCGCGACTAGGGTTGGGTATTGGTTGGGTTTTATCCCATAATAGTACCTACTCTGTATTTTTTAAACAGTTTTGGTGCTTAAACGGTTCTTGAAACGGTACTTAAGAAAATGAAACTGCACACAATTTGTCAATTTTAAATCTTTAAACAATATAAATATAGGTAACAAATGGTAATAATAAATAAACCAATATAAAATAAAAATTCACATTTACATAATATCAAATGAAACTATTGTATCAAACAATGTAATAACTGGAGATATAGAGATTACTACCAAGGTAATCTAATATCGACATGGCTACAGGTTCCCATTTTTTGTCTGCTTGAACCAGTCATGTAATTTATCAGGTCATTGTACTAGTTATGCAGCGCTTAGCTTGGCGAGTTTGGTATTTCGTTCCCACTGCGTCTTAGCTAGTAAGCTTTGAGTAAACCTATGAAAAAGAATGTCTCTGGTTACTGGTGTAACTCATGTTCTCTGAATTGGGAACGAGACGCTGCCTTCGCTGCCAAACTCCTCGTGCTGCCGACAAGCTTCCTTTTTCAGCAGAGAAATCTGAGGAGCAGATGATGCGCGCGCTAATATAATATGATAATAATAATAAATAATAATAATTCGTTACATTTATATAGCGCTTTTCTGGACACTCAAAGCGCTTCACATAGAGGGGGGGATCTCCTCAACCACCACCAATGTGCAGCATCCACCTGGATGATGCGACGGCAGCCATATTGCGCCAGAACGCTCACCACACACCAGCTTACTGGTGGAGAGGAGACAGTGATGAAGCCAATTGGTGTATATGGGGATGATTAGGAGGCCATGATGGACAGAGGCCACTGGGCAAATTTGGCCAGGATGCCGGGGTTACACCCCTACTCTTTCAAAAGACATCCTGGGATTTTTTATGACCACAGAGAGTCAGGACCTCGGTTTAACGTCTCATCCGAAGGACGGTGCTCTTTTTGACAGCATAGTGTCCCCATCACTTTGCTGGGGCATTAGGACCCACACAGACCACAGGGTGAGCGCCCCCTGCTGGCCACACTAACACCTCTACCAGCAGCAACCTGGCTTTCTCAGAAAGTCTCCCATCCAGGTACTAACCAGGCTCAGCCCTGCTTAGCTTTAATGGGCAACCAGTCTTGGGCTACAGGGTGATATGGCTGCTGGCTATTAATGATGACGTGATCGTTAAGATGGCGTCCGCGGATTGGAGCGAATCGTTATTCTATATGGGCTTCAGACAATCGTTCTGACATGTAATTTTACACGTGAAATGCAGCCAAACCTAGGAGCGTTTTGTTTTCGGCATCTCCATTAATCCCCTCGCTATCAGCAGACGTTCCAGGAGTCTCCCGCATATTGATAACGGCTCCCTGACGCCCGCAAATGAGTTGAAATCTCATGGAATCTCGAGCGAGCAATAGTGAGAATAGTGACTCTTCACTGCTCCTCCGTCAAGAGTAGTGAGGGGGGGGGGCTCTATATGGAGTCTCTGGCAGTAAAAGGTGCCGTCCTGATATAGTAAGCTCTCCATGAACTTAGAAAAAAGAAAGGCACTGGTCCAGCGGGCTGAGAACCAGCGCACCCCGCCCCGAGAAAACAATCATCCAACCGAAACTGAGCGGGACACGGTGGAGGATTCCACTCGAGCCGACCGCCTCGGCGGCCCGTTTCAGCATAGCTGACATTTCTGGATCTGGCTCAGGAAACGTTACACTCCCAGAGAAAGATAACGCATCTCCATGGGCCAGCTCACCCTCCGATGCTGCTATCGCCATCCTGTCCTCTGGGGGACTGGTCGGTCCATTACAGAGGGACCAGCTCGCTCATTGGGGGACTCCACCGGCTGCGGTGTGTGATGGAGGACTCTCGAAGCGCCGACACACTCGCTCGTTGTAAAATAACACTCTTCAGAGACATCGACAGGAAGGTTGATCGGCTCCGAAGCGAAAGACAACTGGTGCGTGCATCCACTTCCGTATTTAAACCCGCGCCGCGAGATGCAGATCTCACAAGCCAGTGTGCATTGGCTCATTTAAACAGTACTGGAAGATGACAGGCTCCCTAGGCCTGATCCCAATCGACTATGTCAAACGCGAGCAACTGAAAGGGAAGTATATCGGCACACACTCATCCTGATATCACTGAAGAATCAGTCTTTGGTCATATAGAGCCAGTGTGAGCTTCTTTCTTCTGAACATGAGAAGATACTTGGAAGAAAGTTAGGGACCAAACAGTTTCGACATTCTTCAAAATATCTTCATTTTTCTGTGTTGAAAGAAAGAAAGTCACACGGGTAAATGATGACAGAATGATCAGTTTTGTCTAAAACAAGGATATGTTATAGAGTTCTTGTATTTTTATAAACCCAAAGCTCAAACCTACAGAGAGATGCATCAGTTTCTCACATCACTCTTGTGTTACGCTTTCCAATAGATCACATTAGTTTTATGAACTGTCAATCAAAAACACATTTTTTCATAATTTATTGATCTGGGTTAATGTCACAGTTTTTTCCTATTATTTCTCAATAATAGGTCACTTTTTCAAAAGTCTTCACACACTGAGCAGAACAGAAGTGTATGTGGGCTAAACTGTGGATCATTGATCGTGGCTTTGGCACAAAATGCATTCAATGACTACAATCCTTCATATTACTTTATTTTTTCACTTCGACACAACGGCCAAAACTCTGTGTTCCTACAGGTTAATCTGCACATGCTTACATGCTGCCTTCAAAACTGTTAAACTTAAGTTCAAAACAATAACATAATACAAAACTGAATAAGACAGCATTTTGCCACATTTCTGCAGTAATATTGTAATGAAATATATTTCGAATCTGAAAATTAAATAGTATAAAAACAATTGGACCAAACACAGCTGATTGCTGTTGTATCTGTATCGGTGGATGGTGTGTAATTTTTGCACTTTGGAAGAATGTGTTGATCTGAGACATGTACGAAGTGCTTTTGTACCTTTAGTGTGTTTTGAATGTGAAATGAACGGCTGTGCCGAGCTGAAAGCTGCTCAGGAGAACTGTGTGAAGAGTTAAAGTGACCTAAGGATTGAGAAATGTGTCCTAGTGATTGTAAAAAACTGTCATTTATAATTCATTGTTAATTCTTGTTCGTTGGATGTTAACTGTTAATGTTTGAATGTATTAGGATCTGTATGAAATAGATGAATAAATGCTGTGATTATTAGTTGATGTCAAAGTGAACATATCTTATCTTATTCTGCTCTCGTATTGTAACGATGTCCTCATGATTTCCCCCTCACAGCTGAGATTTCTGCTATATGTCAGAAGAAGGTAAGAGGAATATATGTGTGTGTGTGTGATTATTAAGCTTATGTTTATTCTTGGTTTTAGATACAGTCTGAAATGGACCGTGAAATGTCTATTGTATGATTTTGGTCAAGCAAACATGGCTATCTACCTCAGCAGAAGGAATGAGATCGAAGAGTCCTTAGATTTGGAAATAAACAGTGTTTTTTTCAGGATGGTGAAAGCTAGATTGAAAGTTGATTTTGACACTTACAGTACTAGAGGACTTCATAAACATTTGGTGTTTTAAAAATGTTTCACGTTCTGTTGTGGAGAATGTTGTGTGAGTTAAATCTTTTGAGTTAAATCATGCTCATTTATTTATTTATTTTCCTGTGTTTTGGAAATAGAGTTTTTTGTGTTGTAGAAAACACTGTTTTGAAAATATAAAGAGGAATATAAAAACACTCTCACTCTCTCTCTCTCTCTCTCTCTCAGAACTGCAGCTCTCACGTCCGGCGCGCTGTCGTCACCTGCTTCTCGGCAGGCTGCTGCGGTCGCCATGGGAACCGGCCGGTGCGCTACTGCAAGCGTTGCCATGTGAACCACCACAGCAGTGAGGTGGGGGCGTCGGCGGAGACTCACCTGTACCAGACGTCACCCCCGCCCATCAACACGCGCGAGTGCGGCGCGGAGGAGCTGGTGTGCACCGTGGAGGCCGTCATCAGGTCATCTCACGCTGCTGTCACTGAGAGCACTCTCACTCACCCCTTTTCCACCAAAGCATTTTGAGAGCCGGTTCGGAGCCGGTGCCTGCGCGCGAACCAGTTCGTTGCGTTTCGACAGCTAAAGAACCGGTTCTCGGCCAGGAAAACTGGTTCCAAAGCGGGACAACTCTTTGCTGGACTAGAACCGTTCTTTTAGCACGTCATGCTTACGGCGGGGGCTGGCCGGGTTTAGATGTGCTCTAAACATCTTTTCTGACCATGATATAAGATCGCAAAGCCAGGAGAAACATTTGCAGAAACACGATGTAGTAATTGTTATGCTTTAAATTGGCACAAGCGTTTCTATTTTTTAGTTTGTTTTTTTTTTTTTATTGAAAACATTATAAGCAAAGAAAACGGTCACAATATAGAACAAATAAATGGAAAGAAAAAAAAAGACAAGACAGGGGTACATAGGCTAAATCATCAGAAAAGATGACATATCAAAGGAAAAGATTAAAAGACTTACATATTTTAATTGTTTTTGAAGCCTTCTTGGTACACGAGTTGGAGATAATCCCAAAGTAATGTTGTACTTGCAAGCGTTTCTAGCAAAGAGGAATGGCGACGTACACAGTGACGTAAGGACGTCGTTCCCTGGGCGCTCTAGTCAGTGGAAAAACAAACCAACTTTGAACCAGCACCAGTTCCGAACCAGTTCTTTTTTGGTGGAAAAGGGGTTACTCAGGCCTTTCTTTATTTCATACCGCTACAGCGCTGTTAGGAAACCAAGTATTGGCAGGTGTAGAACTGCAGTAATAATGCTCTTGATTAATATGTTTCGGTTTGTTTGAATGCGAGTAAGACGCATTAGATTAAGACAAATTTCCAGTGCTTGTCTGAAATACTTTTTGATATAAAATTAGCATAAACGAGAGTGATTTGTTGAATGTTGGCAGTCTGCTGAAAGAGGCTGAGATCCACGCGGAGCTGCGGGAGTTTGAGCTGAACCGCCGGCGTCAGATGGGTCTGTCTTCTTCCCATCATTCCCTGGACAACCTGGAGTTTGACAACAAAGAGGACGACCAGCACGACCAGAGACTGCTCAGTCAGTTCGGCATTTGGTTCCTGGTGTGTGACACGTTACATACATGTGCTTTTCACTTCACCCTCTCTACACTCTCATCACAGCTAATAACACAACCATATACATCATGATTAGCACTCAAAAAACAAATAGTCTTCATACTCATTTCCAAACTATCAGTAGACACAAATTTGATGAAAATGTACTTTTATATCTGCGGTTCCATTAGCACACTTGAATTTTCATTCAGTCCATCTCCTGCTTTTGTTCAGAACAATTATATTTAATATACATAATCATTTATGACTTTGAATCATCCCTTACAAGTGTGTTAACATTAGACATTAGAGTAATTCTATTCTAATTTCAGAATTTTCTTAAATTATTTCAACTCTTGATTCCACTATTTAATTGATTAATTATTAATTATTTTGACCTCCTCCCATCCTTCACACAAGCTGCATCTGCACCAGCACATCTATCACATCTGCTTCTTATTAAGCGAAACTATGAAAATGTTGGTTAGTCGGTACAACTCATGACTATGGGATATCGCACTCTTGCGCCATCTGCTGAAGACACTTTTATTCACGCCTGAAACTCCAATGGCAACATGGGCGAGACCAGCCCGGTTAAACCCAAGAGACCAGCACCCCCACATAACTATCTTTCAAGGGATCGACGGCCCCGGGTTAAAGAACCCCTGTGCTGAGCACGAACTCGTTGCATCTAGCCGGTAAACCGGACAAGCGCGCAGTGACGCTCAACTGGCATCTGCACCATTACCATGACGTTTCCATGCCCCTCGTAGAGTTGCATCCACACCCTTCCAGACAGAACCAACTCTTTATCTGCTATAGAAATAGCTTTCTACAATCCAATGCAAAAGATGATGCTTAGATAGTGGCTTCCCACTAGCCGAGTTAGAAAACATATCAAAAAGCTAGTCAGACGAGCACATAGCCTGCATCTGCTCAATGTACCTGTGTATAACTCGCACAGAGTGTCCTGTCTTCCTCTGAGTCAGAGATTTCACAGGGCAGTTCAAGAGAGAGAGCGAACCCCCCGACACACTCCTGACACACTCCAGACACACTCCAGACACACTCCAGACACACTCCAGACACACTCCAGACACACTCCAGACACTCCAGACACACTCCAGACACTCCAGACACACTCCAGACACACTCCCGACACACTCCAGCACACTCCAGACACACTCCAGACACACTCCAGACACACTCCAGACACACTCCAGACACACTCCAGACACACTCCAGACACACTCCCGACACACTCCCGACACACTCCCGACACACTCCCGACACACTCCAGCACACTCCAGCACACTCCAGACACACTCCCGACACACTCCAGCACACTCCAGACACACTCCAGACACACTCCCGACACACTCCAGCACACTCCAGACACACTCCAGACACACTCCAGCACACTCCCGACACACTCCAGACACACTCCAGCACACTCCCGACACACTCCAGACACACTCCAGCACACTCCCGACACACTCCAGACACACTCCCGACACACTCCAGACACACTCCAGACACACTCCAGCACACTCCCGACACACTCCAGCACACTCCAGACACACTCCAGACACACTCCAGCACACTCCCGACACACTCCAGACACACTCCCGACACACTCCAGACACACTCCAGCACACTCCAGCACACTCCCGACACACTCCAGACACACTCCCGACACACTCCAGACACACTCCAGACACACTCCAGCACACTCCCGACACACTCCAGACACACTCCAGACACACTCCAGACACTCCAGACACACTCCAGACACACTCCAGACACACTCCCGACACACTCCAGACACACTCCAGGCACACTCCAGACACTCCAGACACACTCCAGACACACTCCAGACACTCCAGACACACTCCCGACACACTCCAGCACACTCCAGACACACTCCAGCACACTCCAGACACACTCCCGACACACTCCAGACACACTCCAGACACACTCCAGACACACTCCAGACACACTCCAGACACACTCCAGACACTCCAGACACACTCCAGACACTCCAGACACACTCCAGACACTCCAGACACACTCCAGACACACTCCAGACACTCCAGACACACTCCAGACACTCCAGACACACTCCAGACACACTCCCGACACACTCCCGACACACTCCAGCACACTCCAGACACACTCCAGACACACTCCAGACACACTCCAGACACACTCCAGACACACTCCAGCATACTCCAGACACACTCCCGACACACTCCCGACACACTCCCGACACACTCCCGACACACTCCAGCACACTCCAGCACACTCCAGACACACTCCCGACACACTCCAGCACACTCCAGACACACTCCAGACACACTCCAGCACACTCCCGACACACTCCAGACACACTCCAGCACACTCCCGACACACTCCAGACACACTCCAGCACACTCCCGACACACTCCAGACACACTCCAGCACACTCCCGACACACTCCAGACACACTCCAGACACACTCCAGACACTCCAGACACACTCCAGACACACTCCCGACACACTCCAGACACACTCCAGGCACACTCCAGACACTCCAGACACACTCCAGACACACTCCAGACACACTCCAGACACTCCAGACACACTCCCGACACACTCCAGCACACTCCAGACACACTCCAGCATACTCCAGACACACTCCCGACACACTCCCGACACACTCCAGACACACTCCAGACACACTCCAGACACACTCCAGACACACTCCCGACACACTCCCGACACACTCCAGACACACTCCAGACACACTCCAGACACACTCCAGACACACTCCAGACACACTCCCGACACACTCCAGCACACTCCAGACACACTCCAGACACACTCCAGACACACTCCCGACACACTCCCGACACACTCCAGACACACTCCAGACACACTCCAGACACACTCCCGACACACTCCCGACACACTCCCGACACACTCCCGACACACTCCAGACACACTCCAGACACACTCCAGACACACTCCCACACACTCCAGCACACTCCAGACACACTCCAGACACACTCCAGACACACTCCAGACACACTCCAGACACACTCCAGACACACTCCCGACACACTCCAGACACACTCCCGACACACTCCCGACACACTCCAGACACACTCCAGACACACTCCAGACACACTCCAGCATACTCCAGACACACTCCCGACACACTCCCGACACACTCCCGACACACTCCAGACACACTCCCGACACACTCCCGACACACTCCCGACACACTCCAGCACACTCCAGCACACTCCAGACACACTCCAGACACACTCCCGACACACTCCAGCACACTCCAGACACACTCCAGACACACTCCAGACACACTCCAGCACACTCCAGACACCCCCCGTGACACACCCCAACACACTCCCAGCACACTCCCGACACCCCCCCCCCGACACACCTCCCTCTCAGACACACCCCTGACACCCCTGCAACACCCCCTGACACACTCCCGACACACTCCCGACACACTCCAGCACACTCCCGACACACTCCCGACACACTCCCGACACACTCCAGACACACTCCAGACACACTCCCGACACACTCCAGACACACTCCAGACACACTCCCGACACACTCCAGACACACTCCAGACACACTCCCGACACACTCCCGACACACTCCAGACACACTCCAGACACACTCCAGACACACTCCCGACACACTCCAGCACACTCCAGACACACTCCAGACACACTCCAGACACACTCCAGACACACTCCAGACACACTCCAGCATACTCCAGACACACTCCCGACACACTCCCGACACACTCCAGACACACTCCCGACACACTCCCGACACACTCCAGACACACTCCAGACACACTCCAGACACACTCCAGCATACTCCAGACACACTCCCGACACACTCCCGACACACTCCAGACACACTCCCGACACACTCCCGACACACTCCCGACACACTCCAGCACACTCCAGCACACTCCAGACACACTCCCGACACACTCCAGCACACTCCAGACACACTCCAGACACACTCCAGACACACTCCAGCACACTCCAGACACCCCCGTGACACACCCCCAACACACTCCCAGCACACTCCGACACCCCCCCCCGACACACCTCCCTCTCAGACACACCCCTGACACCCCTGCAACACCCCCTGACACACTCCCGACACACTCCCGACACACTCCAGCACACTCCCGACACACTCCCGACACACTCCCGACACACTCCAGACACACTCCCGACACACTCCAGACACACTCCCGACACACTCCCGACACACTCCCGACACACTCCCGACACACTCCAGCACACTCCAGACACACTCCAGACACACTCCAGACACACTCCAGACACACTCCAGACACACTCCAGACACACTCCAGCATACTCCAGACACACTCCCGACACACTCCCGACACACTCCAGACACACTCCAGACACACTCCAGACACTCCAGACACACTCCAGACACTCCAGACACACTCCCGACACACTCCAGCACACTCCAGACACACTCCAGCATACTCCAGACACACTCCCGACACACTCCCGACACACTCCCGACACACTCCAGACACACTCCAGACACACTCCAGACACACTCCCGACACACTCCCGACACACTCCAGACACACTCCAGACACACTCCAGACACACTCCAGACACACTCCCGACACACTCCAGCACACTCCAGACACACTCCCGACACACTCCCGACACACTCCCGACACACTCCCGACACACTCCAGACACACTCCAGACACACTCCAGACACACTCCCGACACACTCCCGACACACTCCCGACACACTCCAGACACACTCCAGACACACTCCAGACACACTCCAGCATACTCCAGACACACTCCCGACACACTCCGACACACTCCCGACACACTCCAGACACACTCCCGACACACTCCCGACACACTCCCGACACACTCCAGCACACTCCAGCACACTCCAGACACACTCCCGACACACTCCAGCACACTCCAGACACACTCCAGACACACTCCAGACACACTCCAGACACACTCCAGCACACTCCAGACACACTCCCGACACACTCCCGACACACTCCAGACACACTCCCGACACACTCCAGACACACTCCAGACACACTCCAGACACACTCCAGCATACTCCAGACACACTCCCAGACACACTCCCGACACACTCCCGACACACTCCAGCACACTCCAGCACACTCCAGACACACTCCAGACACACTCCAGACACACTCCAGACACACTCCAGACACACTCCAGACACACTCCCGACACACTCCCGACACACTCCCGACACACTCCAGCACACTCCAGCACACTCCAGCACACACCAGACACACTCCAGACACACTCCAGACACACTCCAGCATACTCCAGACACACTCCCGACACACTCCCGACACACTCCAGACACACTCCCGACACACTCCAGACACACTCCAGACACACTCCAGACACACTCCAGCATACTCCAGACACACTCCCGACACACTCCCGACACACTCCCGACACACTCCAGCACACTCCAGCACACTCCAGACACACTCCAGACACACTCCCGACACACTCCCAGACACACTCCCGACACACTCCCGACACACTCCAGCACACTCCAGCACACTCCAGACACACTCCAGACACACTCCCGACACACTCCCGACACACTCCCGACACACTCCAGACACACTCCAGACACACTCCAGCACACTCCAGACACACTCCAGACACACTCCAGACACACTCCAGCACACTCCAGACACACTCCAGACACCCCCCGTGACACACCCCAACACACTCCCGACACACTCCCGACACACTCCAGCACACTCCAGCACACTCCAGACACACTCCAGACACACTCCCGACACACTCCAGCACACTCCAGACACACTCCCGACACACTCCCGACACACTCCCGACACACTCCAGCACACTCCAGCACACTCCAGACACACTCCAGACACACTCCAGACACACTCCAGACACACTCCAGCACACTCCAGACACACTCCAGCACACTCCAGACACCCCCCGTGACACACCCCCAACACACTCCCAGCACACTCCCGACACCCCCCCCCCCGACACACCTCCCTCTCAGACACACCCCTGACACCCCTGCAACACCCCCCTGACACACTCCCGACACACTCCCGACACACTCCAGCACACTCCCGACACACTCCCGACACACTCCCGACACACTCCAGCACACTCCAGACACACTCCAGACACACTCCAGACACACTCCAGCACACTCCAGACACACTCCAGACACACTCCAGACACACTCCAGCATACTCCAGACACACTCCCGACACACTCCGACACACTCCAGACACACTCCCGACACACTCCCGACACACTCCAGCACACTCCAGACACACTCCAGACACACTCCAGACACACTCCCGACACACCCGACACACTCCCGACACACTCCAGACACACTCCCGACACACTCCCGACACACTCCAGCACACTCCCGACACACTCCCGACACACTCCAGCACACTCCAGACACACTCCAGACACACTCCAGACACACTCCAGACACACTCCAGACACACTCCAGACACACTCCAGACACACTCCAGACACACTCCAGACACCCCCCGTGACACACCCCCAACACACTCCCAGCACACTCCCGACACCCCCCCCCCCCCGACACACCTCCCTCTCAGACACACCCCTGACACCCCTGCAACACCCCCTGACACACTCCTGACACACTCCCAGCACACTCCAGCCTAGAGAGATCCAGCATAGTGCAGACCATTCCAAACACAACGGTCAGTGTTGCGTACTATAAACATCCACGTGCCATAGGACAGGGGTGATAACTTATACTCAGATATTTTTCATGTAAAAGATTATTAGCCATTTGTTTTTCTTGTGAATGTGCGTGATGGTGTTCTAGCAGCGCGGTGAGGAGCTGAGGAACAAAGGGAATAAAATGGGCAGGACCCCCACCCACCTCGTCATGTGTCATTGGCCTTCAGCCGTGAATAAAGGTTTCTTCAGCAAATATCCCATGGTCATGTGTGCCAAGTCAACCGACTCTATGGGGATTTTAATTTCAGTTTATTCTGTGGAAGATTCAAGACAATGTTGTTTTGTTTTGTTATGCTGTTTTTTGTATCTCATCACATTCTGTTGAGACCGCAAACTCACATTCACAACTCCGATAAAGATGAAAACAGAACAAATATGATTTAACTGTGATAGTTGATAAAGCTATATCTGCTGGGGCAGGTGAGTCTGTGCACGCCCAGCGAGAACACGCCCACCGAGAGCCTGGCGCGGCTGGTCAGCATGGTCTTCCAGTGGTTCCACTCCACCGCCTACATGATGGACGATGAGGTGGGCAGCCTTGTGGAGAAGCTCAAGCCTCAGTTTGTCACCAAGTGGCTGAAGACGGTGTGTGACGTGCGCTTTGACGTCATGGTCATGTGCCTTCTGCCTAAACCGGTGGAGTTTGCCAGGGTGAGTGGGCTGAGAGCCGGTGTGACTGATATACTGGAACGATTGATGCGCTCTGTGGTTTCAGCGTGTGTGTGTGCAGGTGGGAGGATACTGGGATAAGTCGTGCAGCACGGTGACGCAGCTGAAGGAAGGACTGAATCGCATCCTGTGTCTGATTCCCTATAACGTGATCAGTCAGCCGCTGTGGGAGTGTTTCATGCCTGAGTGGCTGGAGGCCATTCGCACTGAAGTTCCTGACCAGCAGCTCAAAGAGTTTCGTGAGGTCCTCAGGTACAGACGCACAGGTTACTGTTCCACACAAACACTCCTGTGACAGCTCTCTGTGTCTCCATCATCTCCACCTGAGTGTCACAGGTGGTTTTGGTTTTGGTTCATGTTTCATGTCAGTCTTGTTTACTGTCTTGTCATGTGATTCCCTTCCCTAGTCTCTTGTCTCGTGTTGTCATTGGTTAATGTTCACAGGTCTGTCTTGTTTAGTCATTAGTTGCTGTGTGCATTTAAGCCGTCATGTTTGCCATGTGTCTTGGTCAAGTGTTGTTATACGTAGCCACTGTTCAATAGGATCATGTTTATGTTTAAGTCCATGTTTTTCAAGCCAAGACTTTGTTATTTGTTTGATCATGTGTGAGTATAATTAATTAAACTGCACTTGCGTCCAGTAGACGGTGATTACACTGAGCTTCATATCACTGTGTTTGATCATTATTGTTTCTGTTAATTGTATGTCCTGCTGTGTTTCTCACAAAGCCAAACGGGTTTCACTGATATTTTCTGAGAGCAGAGGCTTGTGGGTATTTGAGGAGGGTCAGCTTCATCGTCTGACCTTGTGGGTTTTGTTTGTCTTTGCAGTAAGATGTTTGATATCGAGTTGTGTCCGCTGCCCTTTTCCATGGAGGAGATGTTTGGATTCATTAGCTGTAGATTCACTGGATATCCAGCTTCAGTGCAAGAGCAAGCGCTGCTGTGGCTTCACGTGAGCACACACACACTCACACACTCACACACACACACGTCTGTGTTGGTCTGTATGTGGAGTGTGAGCCGGCGCTGTCTCCGTGTTCTGCAGGTTCTGTCGGAGCTGGATATTGTGGTTCCTCTGCAGCTGCTCATCAGCATGTTCTCTGACGGGGTGAACTCACTGAAGGAACTGGCCAATCAGAGACGAGCTCGTGCTGCAGACCTGTCAGGACCCCGCAGGGTGAGAGACGCCTCTCCTTAAAGGGACAGTTCAGACTAACATTCAGTTCTGGGATCAGTTACACACGCTCAGGTTTTGGTGAACAGACTCTTAATGGAGGGACAGGAATCGGATTATGTAAAAGATGTCCTCATTTGTGTTCTGACGAGAGCATAGGTAACTGATGACAGACTTTACATGTGATCAATATTTGAAGAAATTCATCACCAAGTAGAGACGGTTGTTACAGCAGGAAGCTGAAAGCTACATGAAGCAGTGCATGTGGCCTAATGAACAGAAAGCCGTTTTCTCAGATATGTGTTGTATTGGTGTGTGTGATTTTCTTCCTTCTCAAGAACTGACCTGTTCAGCTGTTCTCCACAGGTCAGTGTGGTTTCAGACCCCGGCAGACGAGGGCAGCACAATAACCTGAGCCCGTTCCCCAGCCCGTTCCGGAGCCCGTTTCGGAGCCCTCTGCGCTGCAGCCCCTTCAGGAACCTGGGCCACGCGGCCGGGAACTGTGCCCTGGACCTGGACTGTGACGATGACGACATGAACCTGGGCTGCTTCATCCTCATGTTCGACCTGGTGCTCAAACAGGTGACGTCACTCATCCTCAGGCAGATCTCTGACATGTCTGTGTGTGTGTGTGTGTGTGCTCATTATTCCACGGCGTTGGACTATTTTCTTTAATCTTCTTTAAGCGCAACGGAGCAACTGCGTCTAAAGTGCTGGAAAAGAGAGAGTTAGCAGTTCCTGTCACGATATGGAGTTCTTCTGAGCTATCCGGGATGCTGAGATGATGAAACTGATCAGGAAGATTATTGATAAAGCAGTCTTTAGCGGCAGAGGTTATAGGTCTCTCATATTTATAACACGGAGTCGGCTTTGCTGCTTTGGCTAAGTGAAGTTTGCATGAGACTAGATAGTGATCTGAGATGTCGTCGCTCTGCTGCAGAATTTCAACGGCATCATCATCTATCCCATGTGATAATATCAGATCTAGAGTGTGATTACGACATGAGTGGGTTCAGAGGACACGTGTTGTCTAACTCCACTAGAGTTGAGAATGTCTGTTAATGCCAATCCCGGTGTGTTCCACGTGTGCAGATGGAGCTGCAGGAGGACGTGCTGACGCCGGGCCTGGAGAGCAGTCTGGGCCGGGACGTGGTGGGCATCATTAACAGTGTTCTCCAGGCCCCGTGGGGCGGCTCACACACCTGTCAGAAGGACGAGAAGGCTCTGGAGTGCAGTCTGTGCCAGTCCAGCATCCTCTGCTACCAGCTGGCCTGCGACCTTCTGCAGAGACTGACCCCTCGCGAGGAGATCCGGCTGGTGGTGAGACACACACACACACACACACAACCCTAACCCCAACAGTAATATTGAATTAGTGAGACTTTAAAACATATATATTTATTTTACTTTAAACTGCATAACGAAAATTGTCTACACTTTTGTGCTTTAGTTAACTTTTAGCTATAAACCTTCTTGGTTTTGGATTTATCAGGACTCTTGTCCATTGTCTTATACACAGAGGTATAACACCCTGTGTTACCACTTGTCCATTGTCTCCATTGTGATATTCAAAATGACATTTTTCCATTTAGCAATGAGCAAATAAACCTGTGAAACCAGCCAATCAGATCGCGGCTTACAGGCAGAGAGAATGTGTTGTAGTTCTGTGTGAGATCTGCATGGGTCAGGAACAGGTCATCACATCATTCTCCTGGATGAGCGAGAGGTCCAGGTGTTCCAGCATGCGGTGTGTGTTTCAGCATGCGGTGTGTGTTCCACAGGAACCCTTCGAGTGTCTGGAGGACAGTTTGGTGTTCCCTCGAGCTGATTTCAGTCTTCGGTCTGAGAACGGAGCCGACGAAGGAGACGCTCCCTCGGAAAACCCCGGCAGCCACAGTCCCTCTCCTGAGATCCCTCGTACGTGTTCGTCGTTCCCTTCATCACACATTCACACACTCACAGATCTGTGTGTCTGAGCGTCAGTGTGTTCTCCTCCCTAGCTCTGAAGAACTGCGCCGACAGGAAGTTCTCCTACCTGCAGCTTCCTGTTTCCCTCAAGCTTCTGTACACCGTGCTGCAGGTAAAGGTCATGCTGGGGTCAGGGGGTAAAGGTCACGCTGGGGTCAGGGGGTAAAGGTCACACTGTGGTCAGGGGGTAGAGTTCACGTGGGATCAGGCGGATAAAGGTCACACTGGTGTCAGGGGATAAAGGTCACGCTGAGGTCAGGGGCGGCTGCAGGTAAAGGGTTATACACTGGTAAAAGTCACGATGGGCTGAGGCGGGAAAAGGTCATACTGGGGTCAGGGGTAAAGGTCATGGTGGGGTCAGGCAGTTAAAGGTCACACTGGTGTCAGGCTGGTAAAGGTCATGCTGAGGTGCAAGTAAAGGTTACCCTGGGGTCAGGGGGTAAATGTCACGTTGGGGTCAGGCGGGTAAAGGTCACGTTGGGGTCAGGGGGCGCGTGCGGCGTCATGTGACTCACAAGTCTGCTTGCCCTCTCTGGCAGGAGATGAGTAAGTTCGAGGAGCCGGATATCCTCTTCAACATGCTGAGCGTCCTGAAGATCCTGTGTCTGCACGGAGAGTGCCTGTATCACGCCAGGAAAGACCAGCCGCAGTTCCTGGCCTACATACAGGAGAAGATGCTCATTCCCAGGTATCCCTTTACCCCACTCACTGAACGACAGATTATAATCAGGTGGCATTCAATCTATCAGTGATTACTTATTAAGCGTTTTCAAAAACAACCTAACTGCTGCAAAACACACAATGAACACACACAACTTTTACAAGTAACAAATCCGCTAAATACAGAGGGGTCGCCTTATTGAGGGCTTTAAAGACTTAATAACACGATTTTAACTCTTTCCCCGCCAGCATATTGATATTTTTCACAAAACTTTCATGGGCCTCAGAATATTCGGTTGTGTGAATATCTGAATATGCAAAATCTCAAAAGAATTAACGAAGCCTCTGCTTAAAAAACAACAAAACAAATCATTTTACTCTAGCAACTTCATACATTCTTTTTATGAACATTTTTACAATCATTTCTCAAAACTATTTTTTTCTAAACTCTTCACTCAGTTCTCTAGTAACCTCAAGCTTTACAGCAGTTCATTTCACATTCACTAAAACTACCAAAACATCATTCATTCATGTCTTAAATCAGCTCATTCCTCCTGATTCACACACACAAACACACACACACACTTTATCACTCATCAAACAGTGAGCTAAAACACCAACATCAGGAACATTATACAGTGATTGCTTTTGTAAAATATCTTTACAGAACAAGAATGTGTGTGTGTGATACACTGCTTATGTGGTGTGTGTGTGTGTGTGTGCAGCCTGTGGGCCATGCTGAGGTCCGAGTTCTGCCAGCTGGCGTCTCTGGCCGTCCCGCAGCTCCTGCACGCGCTCACTCTGTCTCACGGAGCCGACATCTTCTGGAGGCTGGTGGACAGCAGCTTCAACAGCCAGGACTGGAAGATCCGCTTCCAAGCAGGTCTGACCGATCTCTCCCGAAACACTGTTGCCACGGTTACTGTCGCCCGCCTGCAGGATTAATGGGAGCCTCTTATGGTGATTGGCAGAGAGATGCTGTGAGCTTGAGCTGGACTCAGACCTGTGCGCTTTTCACACACACCAGCGGATAAAGAGGATTAGGGCTGTTTGCTACTAAACCGCTGTTATCCACATCAGCTCCAGATGGAGAATGTCTGTAAGGGTTAAACCTAACGTGCCATTTTCATTAAGGAATCACTAACAGTGGATTCCCCGTGGAAAGCCTGAGCCTCGTCTGCAGTCCAGAAGAGCACTCCGTTGACATCTGGTGTTAAGATGCGTTTGGTGGATCACAAGTGGACGAGGGACACACACACACCCGTTTACACATGGTGTTAAGTCACTTTCAACACTTCTGTCAGTGAATTCTCTCATGCAGAATCTCATGATGGGTGATTGTTTGCATCACAACACAGTTATGCACAAGCACCATGTAAAAACTGTAGTGATCACAACATGGGTGCCCATCGCAGTCTCAGGTGTCGCCACTAGAGAGCGCTCCAAGACCATGTTTAAACAGATTTATCAGTGCACCTAGACCAGTGTAGTGGACCCCCGCCGCTTTAGCTTCTGTAAGTCTCCCTCATCAGACAACTCAAGTCCTGCAGTCTGTACTAATGAGCTGATAAGTTGAATCAGGTGTGTTAGTAAAGTAAGACATGCTAAATGTGCCGTGATAAGGGGACCCGGGACAGGTGTGAGGACCACTGACCTTCAGTCAATATTTTCTTATTCCAAAGAAAGGGGGAGGCATTCACCCTATTCTAGACCTCACCGGTTTGAACTAATACCCGAGGACACACAAGTCCCTGTTTCATTCTGTACTAAGAGGAGATTGGTTCACCTCGACGGATTTAAAGGACGGACGCATGTTTTCACGTCCAGATCCATTCCCAGCACAGAGATCTTCTGAGGTTTGCGTTCAAGGACACGATATACAAAATCATGGTTCTGCTTTTTGGCCTCTCTCTAGCACTCCATATTTTCATAAAGTGTGTATAAGCGATGTTGACAACATTAAGACAGCAGGCATGAGAATATTAGCATATCTGGACACCTGGTTAATCTGTGCCAGGTCAGGGGAGATGGGGAACTGCATACGAGGGCAGTATTAATGCATTTAAATACTCTAGGATTCATAGTGACCCAGAAGAAGAGCACATTATCCCCAACCCAGTCCATGTTATTTCTGGGTTTAGACCTGGATTCGGGAACTTACTCTGGGTTTAGACTCTAGACTCGGGCAACCCTGTAACAGCAAAGAGGGGAAAGTCTATGGAACTGTGTGGGGCAAAACAGTTTCTCCAACTGTGTCTGAGGTTGCAAGGTCTCGTGGCTTCGGTCCTCACAGTGGTGGCTTTGGGCATGTGAGATATACTGTTCAGGAGAGATTTCCAGAGATGGACCGCAAGAGGCGTTTGAACCAAACGTGGATGTGAGATGTTGAGCCTGGGTTCTCCCAAGGTTTTTTCTCCATTGTGTCACCTGATTGAGTTTTAGGACACCTTTAGGTCACCTGACGGAGTTTAGGACACCTTTAGGTCACCTGACGGAGTTTAGGACACCTTTAGGTCACCTGATGGAGTTTAGGACACCTTTAGGTCACCTGATGGAGTTTAGGACACCTTTAGGTCACCTGATGAAGTTTAGGACACCTTTAGGTCACCTGATGGAGTTTAGGACACCTTTAGGTCACCTGATGGAGTTTAGGACACCTTTAGGTCACCTGATGGAGTTTAGGACACCTTTAGGTCACCTGATGGAGTTTAGGACACCTTTAGGTCACCTGATGGAGTTTAGGACACCTTTAGGTCACCTGATGGAGTTTAGGACACCTTTAGGTCACCTGATGGAGTTTAGGACACCTTTAGGTCACCTGATGGAGTTTAAGGACACCTTTAGGTCACCTGATGGAGTTTAGGACACCTTTAGGTCACCTGATGGAGTTTAGGACACCTTTAGGTCACCTGATGAAGTTTAGGAAACCTTTAGGTCTCCTGATGGAGTTTAGGACACCTTTAGGTCACCTGATGGAGTTTTAGGACACCTTTAGGTCTCCTGATGGGGTTTAGGACACCTTTAGGTCACCTGATGGAGTTTAGGACACATGTAGGTTGCCTGATGGAGTTTAGGACACCTTTAGGTCACCTGATGGAGTTTAGGACACCTTTAGGTCACCTGATGGAGTTTAGGACACATTTAGGTCTCCTGATGGAGTTTAAGGACACCTTTAGGTCTCCTGATTGAGTTTAGGACACCTTTAGGTCACCTGATGGAGTTTTAGGACACCTTTAGGTCACCTGATGGAGTTTAGGACACCTTTAGGTCACCTGATGGAGTTTTAGGACACCTTTAGGTCTCCTGATGGAGTTTAGGACACCTTTAGGTCTCCCGATGGGGTTTAGGACACCTTTAGGTCACCTGATGGAGTTTTAGGACACCTTTAGGTCACCTGATGGAGTTTAGGACACCTTTAGGTCACCTGATGGAGTTTTAGGACACCTTTAGGTCACCTGATGGAGTTTAGGACACCTTTAGGTCACCTGATGAAGTTTAGGAAACCTTTAGGTCTCCTGATTGAGTTTTAGGACACCTTTAGGTCACCTGATGGAGTTTAGGACACCTTTAGGTCACCTGATGGAGTTTTAGGACACCTTTAGGTCTCCTGATGGAGTTTAGGACACCTTTAGGTCTCCCGATGGGGTTTAGGACACCTTTAGGTCACCTGATGGAGTTTAGGACACATTTAGGTCTCCTGATGGAGTTTAAGGACACCTTTAGGTCTCCTGATTGAGTTTAGGACACCTTTAGGTCATCTGCTGGAGTTTTTCGGTTCCTTGCCACTGTTGCCTTTGGCTTGCTCAGTTGGGAACATTCTAATAAATTAACCAATCAGTAATACCCTTGATCAGCTCTACCAAACGTGGATGTTTTTCCACTAAGAAACAAACATTGTTATTATGTTTTGATACTGTGAAGCTGCTTTGAAGCAATCTATATTGTGAAAAGCACTATATAAATCTACTTGACTTGACATGTCTCACTCATCTCCCATAGAGAACCAAGGTTATCACCATAACCGGACGTTTTCAACTACCTCTGGAAGTGGTCGAAAGTGGACGTATTAGTATTAGTATTAGTATTAGTGGACGTAATACAAAACATATAAGACCCTGTTTACTCCTGTATTTAGTGTCGCCCACTTGTGATCCGATCGACCGAAACGCTTCTTACTCAGGTGTTAACAGGGCCAGAGACTGAAAACACCTAGAACACAATATTAACCACACAATAGCTCCGTCATGTAGTGTAGTTGTGTAATCCGTGGCCCTTTCCCGATCCTGCCTCACTTCACCTCCTGTCCTGAATAATGCCAAAACAGATCTGTAACATCTTAGTCTCCACAGCTGCAGCACCCTAGGGATCCCAGTGATGTCATCAGGCAGATGTTGCTGACGTGTGCGTCTCTTTCAGTGGAGCGGGTGGCGGTGCTGTGTCGGTTCCTGGACATCGGCTCGGTGACGAAGAGCCACCTGCTGAAGTACTCTCTGGCGCACGCCTTCTGCTGCTTCCTGGCCAGTGTGGAGGACGTCAACCCGGCCGTGGCCACCCGAGCCCGGCTGCTGCTGGACACCATCAAGCGGCCCGCGCTGCAGGTGAGCGAGACGCCTCGCCTCGAGTCCTGATGTGACCTCACAGAGCCAGACGCGTGTTTGTGTGTGTGTCTCCCCACCAGGGCCTGTGTCTGTGCCTGGACTTCCAGTTCGACACCGTGGTGCGGGACCGGCCCGTGATCCTCAGCAAACTGCTGCTGCTGCACTCGCTGAAGCCGGAGATCCCCGCGCTGAGCTGGGAGTTCTTCGTCAACCGCTTCGAGACGCTGTCGCTGGAGGCGCAGCTGCACCTGGACTGCAACAAGGAGTTCCCTTTCCCTACAAGTGAGTGTGTGGAGACGTGTCAAACATCTGTAGCGTGTGTATCGATCACACAGACTCATGTGTTGATTCACTGTGTCAGCCATCACTGCGGTGAGGACGAACGTGGCCAACCTGAGCGACGCCGCCATGTGGAAGATCCGGCGCGCCCGCTTCGCCCGCAACCGGCAGAAGAGCGTCCGCTCGCTGCGGGACAGCGTCAAGGGTCCGAGCGAGTCCAAGCGGGCTTTCTCACTCCCGGAGACGCTGTGCAACAAACTGCGTGAGTTCATGAATCTGACCGTCAGTATCATCACTGACAGAGGAGAACGGTGGAATCAGTGTTGTGCTCAAGCACCTGTCTGTGAATTGACCATAGAAGTCCTGTTTCTCTTCTTTCAGCTCTGAGACTCGTCAGGCAGGAGCAGTCGGCACCCATACTGGGAAACATGCTGGAGAAGGTGCTGACAGGTAGAGCATGTCTTCTAATCACTAATTCCTTAGTTTTATTCAAATGTATCTCAAGTGCCCTCAATTATCACCATTTCTGCACGGAATTTATATAACTATGATACAATTTATTTATTTCAGTTCTACCTTGTTTAAAAGGCAGGCAAGTGACACTAAAATATGTATTGTGAATTTTAAATTCATTTATGTACAATGAGAATAATCAAGGAGATAATATAGTTCCCTGTGGGACTCCTGTGTTTAACAGTCTGCAGATGACCGTTACTGTACTGTATATTAATGATCATCTCCGTAACCGTACTGTATATTAATGATCATCTCCGTAACCGTACTGTATATTAATGATCATCTCTGTTAACGTACTGTATATTAATGATCATCTCCGTAACCGTACTGTATATTAATGATCATCTCTGTTAACGTACTGTATATTAATGATCACACTCCGTAACCGTACTGTATATTAATGATCATCTCTGTTAACGTACTGTATATTAATGATCACACTCCGTAACCGTACTGTATATTAATGATCATCTCTGTTAACGTACTGTATATTAATGATCATCTCCGTAACCGTACTGTATATTAACGATCATCTCCGTAACCGTACTGTATATTAATGATCATCTCCGTAACCGTACTGTATATTAATGATCATCTCTGTTAACGTACTGTATATTAATGATCATCTCCGTAACCGTACTGTATATTAATGATCATCTCCGTAACCGTACTGTATATTAATGATCATCTCCGTTAACGTACTGTATATTAATGATCATCTCCGTAACCGTACTGTATATTAATGATCACACTCCGTAACCGTACTGTATATTAATGATCATCTCTGTTAACGTACTGTATATTAATGATCATCTCCGTAACCGTACTGTATATTAACAATCATCTCCGTAACCGTACTGTATATTAATGATCACGCTCCGTTACTCTACTGTATATTAATGATCATCTCCGTAACCGTACTGTTTATTAATGATCATCTCCGTAACCGTACTGTATATTAATGATCATCTCCGTAACCGTACTGTATATTAATGATCATCTCCGTAACCGTACTGTATATTAATGATCATCTCCATAACCGTACTGTATATTAATGATCATCTCCGTAACCGTACTGTATATTAATGATCATCTCTGTTAACGTACTGTATATTAATGATCATCTCCGTAACCGTACTGTATATTAACGATCACACTCCGTAACCGTACTGTATATTAATGATCACACTCCGTAACCGTACTGTATATTAAGTGCCTCCTGTTGCCCAGCAGGGGAGAGCTCTCCTCTAGAGGAAGACTCCATCATTAAGGATCTGCTGCCGGAGGACGCCGGGATCGACCATCAGACCGTCCACCAGCTCATCATGGTGCTCATGAAGTTCATGGCCAAAGACAAAAGCAGTGCCGAGGCGGACATCGGCAGCGCCAAAGCCTTCAACACCGTGAAGCGGCACCTGTACGTGCTGCTGGGATTCGATCAGCAGATGGGCTGCTTCATGATCACGCCGCAGAAGATGCGCTCCTCCACCTGCTTCAACGGCTTCATCGCAGGCATCTCTCAGGTGAGTTCAGCCGTGTGCGCGCTCGTCTCCCAGCGGCCGGCGTCAGACTGATGTGTCGTCTCCCCAGGTGATGGACTACAACATTGGCTTGGGGAAGCAGCTGCTGCCGCTGGTGGTGCAGGTGCTGAAGTACTGCACGTGTCCTCAGCTGAGGCCCAACTTCCAGGAGCCGCCGCGCTGCTCGCTGTGGGCCCTCAAGCCTCACATACGCCAGATGTGGCTCAAGGCCCTGCTCGTCATCCTCTACAAGGTATCCATCCAGGGCACACAGTGTTCAAATGCAAGTAAAAATGGGCGTTGGTGAGAAACGGTGTGCCTAGCCAATTATGAATGCTACTGTGAACGATGCTCTGAACTGCTGACCTGACACATTGGATCTGTGCATTCTCTCTTAAAGTGACAGCAGCATAACATCTCTGCTGCTATCGGTGTTTAATGTTAATCAAACAACAAAAGACAGGAAAAAATCACTTACTCCTCTTGACTGAATAACTGGGATGAATAAGGATGAATTAATAAGGATGTTTAATTTACAGTGAAGACTATGCAGTGTTATTTTACATTGCTTTATTACATTTCTCTGCCTGAAAACTAGTCAGATCTACTTGCCTGTTTTTGCAATGTCCAATTGCAACGTTTTTATTTCATGGTCTGTAAAATATATGAATGGCTGGCACATATTCTGGCTAACCTGTGACCTAAAAACACACATGATATAAATTATGAAAAAGGATTTTACTGTGTTGCACCCTCATATTTATAGCAGCGGATTCACATTTTTCTTCATAAAAATTAACAAACACAAAAAAATAACAGAAAACCAACCAATCAAAATTCCACATGTATCTTTATAATCCGAATGGGACCTTTCAGAATAAATAAATGGACCGACCACTATTATTTTATGAACTTTATTTATGGATTGTATGATTTAAGGAGAGACACATTGATCTTTTGATAGTGTGTGATGACAGTCAAAGCTGTGAACACACGAGCCCAGTCTGTACAACACTGACGACACATCACGTTCACAGTTATGTGGATTACAAGTAATGGAAGAGAGATGAATCACTGAACAGTATATTTTTCAGTGGATTAAGTTTTGTGAACGGTTAGAGGTGATTTATTCTAGTTAATGACGCTCCTGCACACACACACACCTAACATGACATGAAATCAACTCAATAATGTGATGCATTAGTTATGGTCACATCCAGGATCGATTTCCTCATGACGAGGTCTAGAAACCTCCTGGAAACAGTAAGCCATCACACAACTGTTGTTTGATTTCTCTTCAACCCAAATATAAGTGCAATATGAGTGATCTCTCCCGTTAAAAGAACATGCATTTTATTCACCTAAAAGCATTAATGCCGGCATAGTGTTCTGTGTTTCCATCTGTGTTTTTGCTCAGTCGAGGTGTAAGTCCTCATGAACCAGTCTGGCTGTGTTTCAGTATCCGTACCGAGATATGGACATGAGTAAAGATGTGGTGCTCCATCTGATCCACATCACCATCAACACGCTGAACGCTCAGTACCACAGCTGCAGATCGCACGTGTCCGCAGGCCCGCTGTACAGCGACAACTCCAACATCAGCCGCTACAGCGAGAAGGAGAAAGGTAGGAGATCTCCCGCTCAGGTCTGACCCTAACCCGACACGAGAAGGAGAAAGGTAGGAGATCTGCTGCATTAATGCCTGTGTGTCCCGTGCAGAGGAGGACAGTGTGTTCGACGAGTCCGACATCCACGACACGCCGACGGGAGCCGGCAGTAAGGAGTCGCAGACCTTCTTCGCTCGGCTCAAGAGGATCGGCGGCAGCAAGTCTGTCAAGTATCAGCCAGTGGAGCTCAGCGCTCAAAGGAGTGAGTCAAAAACGAGTACTCGTATTAAAATATGTAAATATGACTAGAAAAATAACTATTGCTAGTTTGGAAACAGTTAGGATTAGCATGTGTATATTGGATCCGTTTGCTCTTAAAGGGACAGCAGCCTAATAATAAACCTGCGGCTGTCTGTCATTAATGATAACCAAAGAAAAAGAGAAAATCATTCAGTGCTCTTGACTAAATAACTTTTGTAACTTTAATAAGGATTAATCTACACTATAAAGACTACAGTGTTTTTTTTATATACATTTGATATTTTTTTTTCTTATTTCTAGTGCTTGAAGGTTTTCAGGTTTATTTCATTCGTGTCTTTGTTTTATTGTAGTTTGCTGTGTTTTTGTTTGTTATTAGTTTCTTTGTCTTATTTTATCACTGACTGTTTACATGTCTTCATTGAGTTTGAGTTTTATTTACCCTAAATGTCATTGACCAACTGAAACCTGGTCTAAAGTCAAGGGTTCAATATTTTGTTTGTATTTAAAGAGCGTGTTAGTAATGGACAGTTATATAGAGAGGATAGGCAGTCTATTTCAGTTCCTCAAAATGTCACGCTCCGGCTGTAAATGTCACGCTCCCTCGTTCATGCTTCTCTTGTGTAATCATCGTGATATATTGCATTGCCGTATACCAGCTTATCTCTAGCCTGGACAGATGTGTTGGTCATCATCTGGTCCTCTTCTCCAGGTGAGATCGAGCTGGCGGAGTACAAGGAGGGCGGTGCGCTGCAGGACACGCTGCTGTACTCGGGGCGAGAGGACGGCAGCAGCCGGAAGAAGAGACTGCAGGCCATGCACAAGCAGAAGTCTCTGGACATCGGCAACACCGACTCCATCCTCTTCAACCTGGACGAGCACCGGCGCAAGTCCTGCATCGACCGCTGTGACCTGCAGGGTCCTCCGGCCCTCCAGCCCTCCTCGTCCTCCTCCATCGGCCGGCAGCAGCACCGGGCGCAGCACCACGGGAAGGACTCCTCCAACGGCCACTCCGTCATCGACCGCAGCGGCTCCAGCGTCAGGCCCATCATCCCCGAGGTGCGTCTCAGCTGCATGGAGACCTTTGAAGACAAACCCGCCGGCCTGGACTCGCCGCTGGACAAGGACGACCCGGATCTCATCGACCTCTCCTCAGACTGCACCTCCATCCCTGAGAAGCGCTCCATCCTCTCGCTCTCCGACAGCGACTCGCTGATATTCGAGCCGCTGCCGCCTCTGCGTATCGTGGAGAGCGACGAGGACCTGTTCGAGGCGCTGAAGCTCCCCGGCGGCGTGCTGAGCAGAGCCGAGGACCCGTCGGCCGGTCGGCCTCCTCCGGTGGTGCAGGTCAGCGTGGAGGACTGCAGCGGGGACCAGCGGAGCGCGGCGACCCTGGAGCTGCCCGACTCCACGGCGCAGCAGGAGAGCGCCATGACCCTGAAGCAGAAGAGGGACCTCTTCAGGAAGACCTCGCACATGCCAAACGCTTCCCTGGAGGATTCCAGCAGGAAGGATAGCAGTGGGACGAGTCCCAGCCCCTCGAGCCGGTCGGTCCTGCACCACATCCCCATGGAGTCTCTAGAACGGGCGGGAGACGAGGACACCGAGGAGACCGATGAGAGAGACAGCGAGCCCAAACCCGACGATGAGGGTGACGAAGCCGAGTTCAAGATTCAGATCGTGCCACGCCAGCGCAAAGAGAGGAAGATCGCCGTCAGCGCCATCCAAAGGGAATATCTGGACATCACCTTCAACACTCTGGACAAGACGAGTGAGACGACTGCAGAGTCAGGTCAGCTCGCGTTGCACAGTGTATATGATATGTTTCACGCTACGTCTTTGTTGATTTGTGTTTGTACCAGGGGTGTACTGGTACAATTGGTGTAATTTGCAGGTGGGACGGCTGTTTCAAGCACAGAAAGACTTCAATAAAACAGTTTGAGAATAATATCTTGTGTAAATACATTTACCTCAGGCAAGTCACTCACTGCCCACAGCATGTTATATTAGCTTATATGTTCATTATATTTACCAAAAAACAAAAATTAGTGCTTGAAAAATCCTTGAAAGTCCTGCAATTTCTTTTTACAGTGTCTGTGCCAAACCGTCATGTGTGTGTCCCGTTACACCCCTAGTTTCCATTTGATAATAAGTCAGTGAGACTAACCATCCTGGCACTAATCTAGTTCGCATAATGCACAGTGCACATTCAGACTTCTGGTTACGGTCCTGTCGGAGAACGTGTTAATGTTACAGGGTTCTGCTGTTGTTCAGAACTGGTTGCACACAGAGTTCAGAGACTGAAGGTTTTGATATTCACACAGATGAGAAATCCCTGACGAACCTGGAGAAGCCCAGAGAATCAGCCTCTGCTCCAGCTCTGGAGGCGGCCGTCCCCGAAACCAGCCACCGCTCCTCAGTGTCCAGTAGGTCCCTTCCACACCAACTCAACTCCACTAAAGCGGGGCTCATATGAACACTGGCCCACTGCTTCTGTTTCACGAGGCTTCATTTGTGCTGTGAGAGATTTGATCATATCCGGATGTGGGCGTAGTCAAGTCTTTATTTCTACAGCGCTTTATACAATACAGAATGATTCAAAGCATCTTCACAGTAATAAACAGGAAGATAACAGAATCTGTTATGCAAATTTCATTAAATATGAGACCAATTCTGCTGTAAAGCAGCTCTACTGAAGGCCATAGTGTCACTCTTCAGTTCATTTCAGTTCATATTGATAGTATTTCTGAATGTGGTGTCTGTCGTGCATGAGTATCTCCTGAAGTGTGTGTCCTGCTGCAGCTCAGTATCGCCAGGTGAAGCGAGGCTCTCTGGGTGCCGTGACCATGAGTCAGCTGATGAAGCGGCAGCTCGAGCATCAGTCCAGCGCGCCGCAGAACATCAGCACCTGGGACACGGGTCGGTCTTCTTTAGCGCCACTAATCATGGCCAGTCCTGTGTGCTGGAGTCTGTGCCCCAACTCTACACCTCACTCTTGCAGGTCCTACCAAGACGAGTCTGCTGTCGGCTCCGAGCACTGCCAGCATGTTTGTTCCAGCGCCGGAAGACTTTGGCGACGAGCAGCCCACGAACATGGCTGACAGGTGGGAGAGCGAGCGTCAGGGTTAGGTGTGGCGCATGCGGTGTTCCTCATCTGTGTGTGTCTGCTCAGGTGCCGGGACTGCGGGGCGGTTCTGGAGGAGTACGACGAGGAGACCCTGGCTCTGGCCGTGGTGGTGCTGTCCATGTTCATCCACCTGAGTCCCGATCTGGCCGCTCCGCTGCTGCTGGAGATCATGCAGTCTGTGGGCAGGTACGCCCGCACCACAGCCGCTGACCACACACACGTTGACTACGATCTCTATGGATCTCTTTCAGTTTCTGCTTTAATTCTGCAGGTTGGCCTCAAGCTCCAATTTCACAGGTCAGGCTGAAAGGTGAGTTACTCTTTTACAGTTGTACGTCTGAGCCTTATTCTCCTGTCTGTGTTTGCTTGTGTCGCTGGAGAACAATGGAAGTCGGCTCCTGTCTGAGAGCTGATTTCTCTTTTTGTTTTTGTGAATTATTACTACTAATTATTACGTGTAAAAGGATGACTTTTGTACTGACTGTTGTGTTGATGTGTATTCGTGAGATGAGAGTCTATAATATCTGTAATGTTGTTGTTTTTTCAATATTAAAGTCCCCGTGAAATCAAAATTGAACCTATTTACTTTGTTAGCGCATATTACTAGTCTTGTGGTGAACAATTAATCCGTGCAAGTAAAAATATATTTAAAAAATGTTTTACCTTGGTAATCTTTAATCAAAATCTGAAAAGTTACTTCCGGTCTGGAACGGTTTCTTTTTCTGATGACGTAGGTTTCACAACTTGGGTGGGGAAACGCTTAACCACTCCCCTCAAACCGTTAGTTTGCTATGAGCGAGAGATGGAGAGGAGGAGCGCTAGAGTAAAACCCTGCCCTCTGTTCAATATTCCGTTTCACTTGGAAATACGTCACAGCACTGGAGAAAAATCGTTTGCAACTTCCGGTTCACGGGGACTTTAAAGATTTTAAATAAAAAAAGGAATGTAAAACAACTTAGGTATTCCTGAAAGGTTTAGTATAATTACATTGAATAATTTGCAGTTTTTGACAATCATTTTCTCAATATTTAAATTTCTTCAAAAGTCTTACTTTTGCCTTACTATGCTGGGTGCAAAATCCATGCATGAAGGGGAAACCGACAAAACTTGTATATCTCCTATCCTTTTAAGGGAGGTGATAGCCAGGAGAAACAACGTCTTGAGAGTCAGAAACTTGACTGGAACCTCCTCAATAGGCTCAAAAGGAGCCAGGGATAGGCCTTGGAGCACCTTGGCCAGATCCCACGGCTGTACCCTAGTGCGTACTGCAGGCCTCAGCCCCACGGCCAGATCCCACGGCTGTACCCTAGTGTGTACTGCAGGCCTCAGCCACACGGCCAGATTCTATACTGTGCCCAAGAGCGTACTGCAGGCGTCAGCCCCACGGCCAGATCCCACAGCCGTACCCTATTGCGCACTGCAGGCCTCAGCCACACGGCCGTACCCTAGTACGTACTGCAGGCCTCAGCCCCACAGCCGTACCCTAGTACGTCCTGCAGTCCTCAGCCCCACGGCCGTACCCTAGTACGTCCTGCAGTCCTCAGCCCCACGGCCGTACCCTAGTGCGTACTGCAGGCCTCAGCCCCATGGCCAGATTCCCTACCGTACCCTAGTGCGTACTGCAGGCCTCAGCCCCAAGGGATGCACACACAGCCTGTAACTTTGTTTACTGACTTGACCTGAGTATTGAGAAATGTGTCCTAGAGATTGTAAAAATCTGTAAATGAAGAGCCATTTGTTGGCTGAAAGAGGCAGCTCCAACGATCCAGCATGTGTGTGTGTGTGTGTGTGTGGGTCCAGCATGCTGATTCCCGGGAACGTCGCTGGTGTGGCCAAGCAGTTCCTGCGTTGCGTCCTCCATCAGCTCGCGCCCAACGGCATCCTTCCACAGCTCTTCCAGAGCAACATTAAAGGTCTGAGTTCACACACACACACACACACACACACACAGAGACTCAAGCTCACTGGCACAGCTCTCTATGGTTTCAGACGGAAGCTTCCTGCGGACACTGGCCATGGCTCTTGTGGATTTCAATGAGCTGAGCTCTGTGGCCGCGCTGAGCCAGCTACTGGAGGTGGGTCTCTCTCTCACACACACACACACACACACTTCCTTATGAAGACTCTCTGCTTTACACTAATAGTATGTGCATGAGCTGTGAATGGCTGTATTGGGGTTGTACGGTAACTGCAGTAAAGCTGCTGGTGTCGTCCTAGGGTCTGAACAATAAGAAGTCTCTGCCAGCAGGCGGTGCTATCCTGCACTGTCTGGACAACATCGCCACCTTCATGGAGACTCTTCCCATGGACTCGCCCAGCAACCTGTGGACCACCATCTGCAACCAGTTCCAGACCTTCCTGGCCAAACTGCCTGCTGTGCTGCCGCTTAAGGTGTCTCTCTCTTCAGTCTCTCTCTCTCTCTGCGCTTCAGTCTGTGGTGTATATGATCAAATTCTCACTATGCTCATTCTCCTCTCCTATAGTGTCCGCTGGACTCAAGCCTGAGGATAATCATCTGTTTGCTGAAGATTCCCGTCACTAATGCAGCAAGAGTAAGCTTGTAGATTTCTGTGGCTCTGTGTTGTTTAAGGAACCGCAAGTGTGTGTTAAATCTCATTCCTTCTCCCGTGTCTCCTGCAGAGTCTGCTGGATCCCTTCTCCAAACTGCTGAGTTTTGTTCTCCAGTATGGTGTGTTCAGTCTCTCGTATCTCGTAGAGATCTGTGGTTTATGCTACAAAAACTTCAGCAAGGTGAACAAGCCTTTATTGCACCAGAGAGAATCTGACGTCCGCTGGCATGATTTATTTCCTCTGATAACAGAGATTACTGTAAATTATAATTTGGGCTGATTACATGCATTTTCTGTAAAGCTGCTTTGAAACTATTTGTACTGTGAAAATCGCTATACAAATAAATTTTAATTGAATTGATTTGTTTTTGAAAATGACAACATGACATTTTCCCTGTTTGATGCAGGAAAGAGACAAGTTCTACATGTCGCGTATCGTGGTTCTAGAGCTGCTGCAGGCTCTAAAGTTCAAGTCCTCGATTCCTGATACGAACCTGCTGCTGCTGGTGCAGGTACAGCTACTGTCCGTCACACAGCCTCGTTCACTGCAGAGTCACTGTAACACAGCCTCGTTCACTGCAGAGTCACTGTAACACAGCTTTGTTCACTGCAGAGTCACTGTAACACAGCCTCGTTCACTGCAGAGTCACTGTAACACAGCTTTGTTCACTGCAGAGTCACTGTAACACAGCCTCGTTCACTGCAGAGTCACTGTAACACAGCCTCGTTCACTGCAGAGTCACTTTAACACAGCCTCGTTCACTGCAGAGTCACTGTAAAACAGCCTCGTTCACTGCAGAGTCACTTTAACACAGCCTCGTTCACTGCAGAGTCACTGTAACACAGCCTCGTTCACTGCAGAGTCACTGTAAAACAGCCTCGTTCACTGCAGAGTCACTTTAACACAGCTTTGTTCACTGCAGTCACTGTAACACAGCCTCGTTCACTGCAGAGTCACTGTAACACAGCCTCGTTCACTGCAGAGTCACTGTAAAACAGCCTCGTTCACTGCAGAGTCACTGTAACACAGCTTTGTTCACTGCAGAGTCACTGTAACACAGCCTCGTTCACTGCAGAGTCACTGTAAAACAGCCTCGTTCACTGCAGAGTCACTTTAACACAGCCTCGTTCACTGCAGAGTCACTGTAACACAGCCTCGTTCACTGCAGAGTCACTGTAACACAGCCTCGTTCACTGCAGAGTCACTGTAAAACAGCCTCGTTCACTGCAGAGTCACTTTAACACAGCTTTGTTCACTGCAGTCACTGTAACACAGCCTCGTTCACTGCAGAGTCACTGTAACACAGCCTCGTTCACTGCAGAGTCACTGTAAAACAGCCTCGTTCACTGCAGAGTCACTGTAACACAGCTTTGTTCACTGCAGAGTCACTGTAACACAGCTTTGTTCACTGCAGAGTCACTGTAACACAGCCTCGTTCACTGCAGAGTCACTGTAACACAGCTTTGTTCACTGCAGAGTCACTGTAACACAGCCTCGTTCACTGCAGAGTCACTGTAACACAGCTTTGTTCACTGCAGAGTCACTGTAACACAGCCTCGTTCACTGCAGAGTCACTGTAAAACAGCCTCGTTCACTGCAGAGTCACTTTAACACAGCCTCGTTCACTGCAGAGTCACTGTAAAACAGCCTCGTTCACTGCAGAGTCACTTTAACACAGCTTTGTTCACTGCAGTCACTGTAACACAGCCTCGTTCACTGCAGAGTCACTGTAACACAGCCTCGTTCACTGCAGAGTCACTTTAACACAGCCTCGTTCACTGCAGAGTCACTGTAACACAGCCTCGTTCACTGCAGAGTCACTGTAACACAGCCTCGTTCACTGCAGAGTCACTGTAAAACAGCCTCGTTCACTGCAGAGTCACTTTAACACAGCTTTGTTCACTGCAGTCACTGTAACACAGCCTCGTTCACTGCAGAGTCACTGTAACACAGCCTCGTTCACTGCAGAGTCACTGTAAAACAGCCTCGTTCACTGCAGAGTCACTGTAACACAGCTTTGTTCACTGCAGAGTCACTGTAACACAGCTTTGTTCACTGCAGAGTCACTGTAACACAGCCTCGTTCACTGCAGAGTCACTGTAACACAGCTTTGTTCACTGCAGAGTCACTGTAACACAGCCTCGTTCACTGCAGAGTCACTGTAACACAGCTTTGTTCACTGCAGAGTCACTGTAACACAGCTTTGTTCACTGCAGAGTCACTGTAACACAGCCTCGTTCACTGCAGTGTCACTGTAACACAGCCTCGTTCACTTCAGTCACCACCCCACAGCCTCATTCACTAAAGTTCAAAGTTCAGCGATTAGGAAACAAACTCAATTTCAGAGCTATAAGCAGCTCTACAGAAGACGAGTCATTATTCTGATCAATTCCATCTCACAGTAGAGCAAAAACCATGAAGATATTTGGGCGCATATCTAGTTTTCAGGTGCTAGCACTAATATGATAGCTGTACATAAAATGTCTAAACCAGTTTTTTTACAGATGAGTGTTTGGTTTGGTGTCACGTGCTGGTGTGTGAACATCTGTAAACAGCTCATTGTGTGAGAGAGAGAGGAGTGAGTAATGTCCACTGCTGTCCTCAGTTTGTGTGTTCAGACATCGGGACGAGGCTGGCTGAGTCCACCATCATCCAGAAGCACATGATCACCGCTCTGCCCGGGGTGAGCCTCGCCTCTCTCACATCTGCTGCTGTCTGTGTGTGTGTGTGTGTGTTAGTGACGGGTGTCTGTCCCGCAGTGTACGACCGCGGCCATGGAGTGTTTGAGGCAGTATCTGAGCGAGCTGCTGGACTTCATCGCAGACATGCACACGCTGACTAAACTGAAGGTACTCCTCTACACAAGCACTCAAACATTCACTGTCGTAATGGACTGAACCATGATGTAACTCATAAAGCATCTTGACATTGTGAATGTGTGTGATGTGCATATGCAGCTTCAGTGAGAAGTGAATTCAGTTCAAACTGAGAGTTATGCCTCCGCTTTCTCTTTCTCACAGGCATCATGTACAAATGTAAGATGTTCATCCCTAAATCCAGAAAAGTTTTGTAAAATCCACTAAAATCAAGACTGTGAATCTGACACGGAATTGAACTGACAGAAGTACAATGAAATTCATGTTTGCTTTTTCAGTTTGTATTTTGATTAGTTCCTCTTTTCCTTTGTTCTTTTCCCACCACTCCTTTATTTCTATGGTTACTATCACTATGAGTTCATTTGTCCCAGCTGTGTATGATTAATGATCTCGTTTCTGTTTGCTATTTAAGATGCACCGCTTCAGTCTTTATCCAGTCTCTGTTGCGTTTATGTGTGTCTTCCCTGCCTGTCAGCTTGGTCCAGAGTACTATTATACTAGTTTGAGTCTTCAGTCTGTTCCTGAGGAATCCACAGTGTGACACCAACGTGTATATTGTAAATAAACAAATTTAGATTTGAATAGCTACGTTACACTCCAAAAAAAGTTGACAGAGGCTAAATACAAGTGAAAAGCTTATAGACTTTACAGCTCACAGAGTAAACCTTTATGTAGTTTTGTGTTTGCTGATGGGAAATGTTTGGACTGGGTGCAAACGAACAGCCGCTTCTCAGTTCTGCAGAACATAAGTTCTCAGACAGATTGGAAGTTGATGTTGCGTGGATGGAGTTGAGAAAAGACAGATGTGTCTTTCCTCTGGAAACCTGCTAGTGAGAAGTCTCAGATCTCCTGGTATAAAAGTGTGTGCCACTGCCTGATTTAAAATGCTGAAAAGTGATGTGTGTGTGTGTGTGTGTGTGTGTGTGTCTCAGAGCCACATGAAGGCCTGCTGTCAGCCGCTGCACGAGGACACGTTTGGTGGGAATCTGAAGGTCGGTCTGGCTCAGATTACAGCGATGGAGATCAGCAAAGGAAACCACAGAGACAACAAAGCAGTGACTCGCTACTTGCCCTGGCTTTACCACCCACCCTCTGCTATGCAGCAGGGGTAAATCTGTGTGTGTGTGTGTGTGTGTGTGAGTGAGTTTGTGTGTGAGTGAGTGAGTGAGTTTGTGAGTGAGTGAGTGAGTGAGTGTGTGAGTAAGTGAGTGAGTCAGTGAGTGTGTGAGTGAGTGAGTGAGTGAGTTTGTGTGTGAGTGAGTGAGTGAGTCAGTGAGTCAGTGAGTGTGTGAGTGAGTGAGTGAGTGAGTTTGTGTGTGAGTGAGTGAGTGAGTGTGTGAGTAAGTGAGTGAGTCAGTGAGTCAGTGAGTGTGTGAGTGAGTGAGTGTGTGTTTGCATCAGCTTCTCTTTACTCTGTTCTTCTGCTTCCTCAGACCCAAAGAGTTCATCGAGTGTGTGTCGCACATCCGTCAGCTGTCCTGGCTGCTGCTGGGCTCTCTTACCCACAGTGCTTTGCAGCAGGGCTCCTCGTGCTGTATGCCCATCCCTCTAGACGCCGGCTCTCATATCGCGGACCATCTGATCGTCATCCTGATCGGGTTCCCGGAGCAATCTAAGGTATGAAGCGGATCACTGAGATGCGGGATCTGCAGGTCTGAGTCTGAAGCTCTCCTGTGTGTGTGTGTGTGTGTGTGTTCAGACTTCAGTGCTGCACATGTGTTCGCTGTTCCACGCCTTCATGTTCGCCCAGCTGTGGACCATCTACTGTGAGCAGGCGGCCGTCCCGTCCAGCCAGAACCAGAACCAGAACGAGTTCTGCTCGGGGGCCATCCTGACGGGCCTGGAGTTCTGGAGCCGCGTGACTCCCAGCATCCTCCAGCTCATGGCACACAACAGAGTGGTACGATATTCTCTCTCTCTCTCTCTCTCACACACACACCGTCTGTACAATGGAATTGATACGACACTATTACGTATAAAATTACTCCTATTTGTAATTAATTGTAGACTGCATGCTAATGAGCAAAGACAATCAGTCATGACCAGGGTTTGAAATCAACTCACGCCAAATGTGGGTATAATCAACAGTGGCGGCAAACGATGTCAAATCACGAGCCAGTTTAGCGTGTTATTATATTTACTCACTTTGCTGGGGAAGTTCGTGTAAGAAAAATCTGCACAGATTCAGCGCAAATACTCGTGAGACATCATGATATATTAAATACAGCGTATCGCACAGAATCTGCTCATATCTGGCGTTCTTGAACACGTCACTATAGCGCCTCGCTCGTTCATTTGCATTGAAGCAATAGTGAAGTAGAAAAAGCATTTGGTGAACAGAAAAGGCATTTTTATGTTCTTTGTCTGTCTGATTTATGCACATAAAACACATGTTTGGTGATGAGGATGAAAGAGGAAGATGCTGGATGACAGGATTTTGTTTGTATATATATATATATAGATATGAAGAGTTCAGATGCAAAAGCCTCTAAATGCCATTTGAAATTTTCTTCTTTAATGATGATTTTTATCAAACTTGTATATTTAAGTTCAGTAATTTCACTTAAATGGCAATGATAATTACCTATTAATTGTTATTTAAGTGAAATTACTGAACGTAAATATACAAGTTTGATAAAAATCATCATTAAAGATGAAAATTTCAAATGGCATTTAGAGGCTTTTGCATCTGAACTCTTCATATATATGCTGTGACGTAGTTAATCTAGTTCATTTCTGTTTTTCTTTTTTGGCTAGTTGAAGTTCTGAATGTCCGGTAACTTAAAATGTAGTTGCCAAACTGGCCAGTGAGTGAAAAAGTTAATTTCAAACCCTGATCATGACGTATCGTAACTCACAGAAGTGTGACGCGCCAGGTGTTGGTGTGTGTTTCAGATGGTAGAGATGGTGTGTTTGCATGTCATCAGTCTAATGGAGGCCTTGCAGGAGTGCAACTCAACCATCTTTGTCAAAGTAAGAGGGATTTATTACCACACATGCTCAAACTGATTGGGTCATGCTTAAAAATGTATTTGCACTTCTACATTATGCAGTCTGAGGTGCTTATAATATTTAACGTCTTCTTCGTTCTGTTTAGCTGATTCCCATGTGGCTGCCAATGATCCAGTCCAATTTAAATGTAAGTGTTCATCATATTGATTATCAATTCAGGCAGTGATTCTTGCTTTCTTTCTAGAGTAAACTTCAGAATCTCCCTGTCAGGGTGTCTCCCACTGAACCGAGCCGAGAGCCTTACGACAGTAAAGTCTGGTTCGTTACGACAACAAACATCTTGTATTACTACTGGGACAGTACACTTTTCAATTAATTTAATATAATTGAGTATATTCAGGTTTATAACGGGTCTGATTCTCAACTAATTGATGAACAGGAATTGTAGTTTGTAAACTCCTGCCTCAAGGTCAGCTGCCTACATAATAATCTCCTGACACACAATCGAGTGATCATCACTGCGTGACATAAACAATAAATCTATTAGGCAGTCTATTGGCGGAAATGCTTTTCTTCAAATCAAAAGGATGCATGATGAATGACAGTCCCTGAACGTTGAGTGTGATGTGAGTGCAGGCCGTAGACTGTACAAAAGATGGACGAAGCCCCTTCATGCTCTTCCATTGGTGAAAAGTGGAGCAGACAAAGTCCTAATAGCTCTGACATCTGGCCCTGATTTGGGGCAGTAGTGAACGTGAGGTGGAGCCGCGATATCAAGGTCCCGCCCACACACTCCCACAGAAACCGTTAGTACAGTTCATGCAATACAACTCATTATGTGGGTGTGAAATAAACATTTATGGACATGTAGAAATTAAAACTGAAGCTCCAATCTCCTCCCGAAAATCCTTAAAAAAGACTGTTGGTGCCTCAGTGACTTCGTTTAGAGAAGCTGTCAATCATGATGTCACACTTACATTTTTTTGCATCAAATAACTATTTTCGATCGAGACTCTGGGTTTATGAGCTATACTGGGACCAGCCACCAGGGGGCTATCAAGATTCTGGGTTTATGAGCTATACTGGGACCAGCCACCAGGGGGCTATCAAGATTCTGGGTTTATGAGCTATACTGGGACCAGCCACTGGAGGGCGATCGAGACTCTGGGTTTATGAGCTATACTGGGACCAGCCACCAGGGGGCTATCAAGATTCTGGGTTTATGAGCTATACTAGGACCAGCCACTGGAGGGCGATCGTGACTCTGGGTTTATGAGCTATACTGGGACCAGCCACCAGGGGGCTATCGAGATTCTGGGTTTATGAGCCAGCCACTGGAGGGCGATCGAGACTCTGGGTTTATGAGCTATACTGGGACCAGCCACCAGGGGGCTATCAAGATTCTGGGTTTATGAGCTATACTGGGACCAGCCACCAGGGGGCTATCAAGATTCTGGGTTTATGAGCTATACTGGGACCAGCCACTGGAGGGCGATCGAGACTCTGGGTTTATGAGCTATACTGGGACCAGCCACCAGGGGGCTATCAAGATTCTGGGTTTATGAGCTATACTAGAACAGCCACTGGAGGGCGATCGAGACTCTGGGTTTATGAGCTATACTGGGACCAGCCACCGGGGCGATCGAGACTGGGTTTATGAGCTATACTGGGACCAGCCACCGGGGGGCGATCGAGACTCTGGGTTTATGAGCTATACTGGGACAAGCCACCGGGGGCGATCGAGACTCTGGGTTTATGGGCTATACTGGGACCAGCCACTGGGGGGTGAACGAGACTCTGGGTTTATGAGCTATACTGGGACCAGCCACTGGGGGGGCGATCGAGACTCTGGGTTTATGAGCTATACTGGGACCAGCCACTGGGGGGCGATCGAGACTTAGGGGTTATGAGCTATACTGGGACCAGCCACTGGGGGGGCGATCGAGACTCTGGGTTATGAGCTATACTGGGACCAGCCACTGGGGGGGCGATCGAGACTCTGGGTTATGAGCTATACTGGACCAGCCACCAGGGGGCTATCAAGATTCTGGGTTTATGAGCTATACTGGGACCAGCCACTGGAGGGCGATCGAGACTCTGGGTTTATGAGCTATACTGGGACCAGCCACCAGGGGGCTATCAAGATTCTGGGTTTATGAGCTATACTAGGACCAGCCACTGGAGGGCGATCGAGACTCTGGGTTTATGAGCTATACTGGGACCAGCCACCGGGGGCGATCGAGACTGGGTTTATGAGCTATACTGGGACCAGCCACCGGGGGGCGATCGAGACTCTGGGTTTATGAGCTATACTGGGACAAGCCACCGGGGGCGATCGAGACTCTGGGTTTATGGGCTATACTGGGACCAGCCACTGGGGGTGAACGAGACTCTGGGTTTATGAGCTATACTGGGACCAGCCACTGGGGGGCGATCGAGACTCTGGGTTTATGAGCTATACTGGGACCAGCCACTGGGGGGGCGATCGAGACTTAGGGGTTATGAGCTATACTGGGACCAGCCACTGGGGGGGCGATCGAGACTCTGGGGTTATGAGCTATACTGGGACCAGCCACTGGGGGGGCGATCGAGACTCTGGGGTTATGAGCTATACTGGGACCAGCCAACAGGGCACGATCGAGACTCTGGGTTTTAGAGCTAAACTGGGACCAGCCAACAGGCGACGATTGAGACTCAGGGTTTTAGAGCTATACTGGGACCTGCCACTGGAGGGCGATTGAGACTCTTTGGCTTCACTACTTGGGACTTGTGCGACACACTTGGTGTGACAATCGCCCCAGGGCTCTAGTGTGAGCGCATCCTGAAGGTGATGATACACAGGGCAATTTTTTATCTGGATATTTTAATTAAGGTCAGGTCAGTCATGGGCCTGTGTCTCTCTTGGTTGCCCATTAACAGCAACATTGCTCAAAAGTTGGCCTGTGTCTCATCATCTTTAGACACTAACCTCTCCGTGTGTCTACAGCATCTGTCCGCGGGTCTCCAGCTGCGTCTGCAAGCCATTCAGAACCGGGTGAACCACCAGTGTCTCCAGAACCCCGGACCCGGATCCTTTCCTCTCGCTCTGCGCAAGTGGCTTCAGTGCACGCAGTTTAAAATGGCCCAGGTGGAGATCCAGTCGTCGGAGGCGGCGTCCCAGTTTTACCCCATGTGACCTGTTATGTGTTTCATCATGAGCTTCAGCTCATCGTTCACGGAGCGCAGTGGTCTTCCGGGTGTGTGTGACTGCATACTGCTCTTTGTCAGATGCATTACAGAATTCTTGTATAGAGAAGAATGTTAGTCTGTGACAAGCAGGAAGAGTTTTTCGCATTTTCAATAGTAGACATATTTCAAACCAAAATAAACAATTCAAGAGTTTTTTTTAAAACATTAACTGGAATTTAGTCTTTGTGTTAAAAGTATAACACTTTTCTTTTACTTGATCAAATGTTTCAAAAAGTTTGTGATGAGAAAATAAATCTGAAGCATTCAAAACTGGCTAAACCAATTTAAAGTCCCTGTAAAGGCAATTCCACAAAAAAGTTCTAAACACATTATAAATGTTACATATGTATTGCTAAAACATATTACAAAGACTGTGAACTGTGAAGTACTGAAATGTGGAGTTAGACCGTTAAACAGTTTTTCACCATTGTAATTTTACGGATTGTTTGGGCGGGGCTAAAACAGGGCTCGATGACGCACTGGAGCCCATGAGCTCATGGACACGCCCCTATTTGATGACGCACAGAGTCTGTCTGATATCTCCCTTAAAGGGTTAGTTCACCCAAAAATGAAAAATAAGTCATTAATTACTCACCCCCATGCTGTACCAACCCCGTAAGACCTTCGTTCATCTTCGGAACACAAATAAAGATATTTTTGATTGAATCTGAGGGCTGTATCACTCTTCCATAGACAGCCTGAGGGACTGCCTCTTGACGGCCCAGAAAGTCATTAAAAGAAAAGGTTTAAATATTCCATGTGCCTACAGTGGCTCAACTATAACTTTATCAAGCGACGAGACTACTTTTTTTGCGAAAAAAAAACGTAAATAACGACTTTATTCGACTTTCCATTACTTCCTTATGGGCGCATGCGTGAGAACTGAGACGAGACCGTTCTTCTTCGACTACTTTTTGTTACCGGCTGCTCACCGCTTAGGAGTTTTACCGCCCCCTACCGTATAAGATGACGTACTGATATAGCCGGAGGCGCAAAACGTTCTGTTTACAAGCAGTACGTCATCTTATACGGTAGGGGGCGGTAAAACTCCTAAGCGGTGAGCAGCCGGTAACAAAAAGTAGTCGAAGAAGAACGGTCTCGTCTCAGTTCTCACGCATGCGCCCATAAGGAAGTAATGGAAAGTCGAATAAAGTCGTTATTTACGTTTTTTTTTCGCACAAAAAGTAGTCTCGTCGCTTGATAAAGTTATAGTTGAGCCGCTGTAGGCACATGGAATATTTAAACCTTTTCTTTTAATGACTTTCTGGGCCGTCAAGAGGCAGTCCCTCAGGCTGTCTATGGAAGAGTGATACAGCCCTCAGATTCAATCAAAAATATCTTTATTTGTGTTCCGAAGACGAACGAAGGTCTTACGGGGTTGGTACAGCATGGGGGTGAGTAATTAATGACTTAATTTTCATTTTTGGGTGAACTAACCCTTTAACACACAATAACACTCCCCGAGCACATTCGCATTCACCGCTCAATCGTGAGTGACTGTCACTATTCAAGTTACTACAGCTGAGCCTACAGTTTTCTAGCTAGCGATGCCTTCAAGACAGAAATGCATAGGCTACTGCATAGGCTAAAACGATCACATCAAGAAGAGGTTTTTAGAGAGCCAACCTTTATGAAGAGCTGAGGATCACCGCAAACACCCGCCTCTGAAGTGATCATTTTACACAGGATCGTTTTATAAACTTTAGAAACAACTGGGATTCACTGATAATCAGCTGCTACTGGTGAACGGGGCCGAACCGACTATCTCTCGGCTCAGCGTTCATCCTCCCGTCCCGAAAGCAGTATCAGCTAATATCACCGTCGACAGCTTTCCTGCTAGTGGGCGTGGTTTCAGCGCAGCCAGCGGACACGCCCCCAGCGTTTGAGAACAGAGATAACTGCTCATTTTTTCAAGATTTTGATAGCTTATTTTATGTACTTGCTGGCTTTTTTATCATTCAAATTTGGCTGGGTGGCTAATAACACATTTTTCTGTGGTGTGACAAACTCAGAACACATACTTAATTTTGACTTTACAGGGACTTTAAATGTCACATATACTAGTATCGCGTGTGTGACTCATGTAAGTAAAGTTCACAAGCATAATTTCGGGAGGAGTGAACCCATCCGATCTGTCAGTTAACTGTGGGATCATATAAGCGGACGCTCACCTTGTTCTGGCATCAGATGTGCTGGTGTCCCTTCGCCTCCCCAACTCCACCTCCAATATTAATTCAGGCATCTTACACCAGACTCCTCATCCAACTATCAGTAGTGCAGTATATCTGAGCTCCAGTTGAAGCTGCTTCCTCGAGACCATCGAGAAATACGGCTGGATTCTCCTCTTTGTGCGAATGGGTTCTGGCACTGGGCACTCGTTACCTTGCTGTACATTTAGGCAGACATGTATCGATAATGGCATTGTGTGTTCTGCCCATGATCCCCTGGGAAAACCTGAATCTGTTGACAGGAGGAATCCCCTGGGCAGGGTTAAGTAGAGGTTACGTTGCTACAAGGACCAGGAACTCTTTAAGAGGAAAGTGGTCGACAGCACTGTCAGAGCGGCACATACAGTAGTGTGCGGGTGTGTCTGGACTGTGTCGGGAGTGTGTCTGGGATGTGTCTGGAGTGTGTCGGGAGTGTGTCTGGAGTTTGTCTGGAGTTTGTCTGGAGTGTGTCTGGAGTGTGTCTGGAGTCTGTCTGGAGTGTGTCTGGAGTGTGTCTGGAGTGTGTCTGAGGTGTGTCTGGGGTGGTTCTGGAGTGTGTCGGGAGTGTGTCTGGAGTGTGTCTGGAGTGTGTCGAGAGTGTGTCTGGAGTGTGTCTGGAGTCTGTCTGGAGTCTGTCTGGAGTGTGTCTGGAGTGTGTCGGGAGTGTGTCTGAGGTGTGTCTGGGGTGGTTCTGGAGTGTGTCGGGAGTGTGTCTGGAGTGTGTCTGGGATGTGTCGGGAGTGTGTCTGGAGTTTGTCTGGAGTTTGTCTGGTGTGTGTCTGGAGTGTGTCTGGAATGTGTCTTGAGTGTATCTGGAGTTTGTCTGGAGTTTGTCTGGAGTGTGTCTGGAGTTTGGCTGGAGTGTGTCTGGGATGAGTCTGGTGTGTGTCTGGAGTGTGTGCACACTATGCTTATTAGTTAAGTTTGGACCGCAAAGGCTGTAATTTGGACTTTGACTCATTAGTCATCTGGTGCGTAGTGTCTTGGAAATGTTGTCCGACAGCACAGCCGCTCCGATTCGGCTGGGATGGAATCCGTCTGCACGATACAGCCTAGGTCTCTCCCAAAACAGATGCCAATTATTTACAAAGTGCAGCCTCTGTTCATTACACAATGACATTAACCATTCATTTAGTGCAAATAGTCTACTGAACCTTTCCTGTCCTTGTCTGTACGTGGGAAGCGGTCCAGACACGATGATCGCTGCTTTAGTCACTGTGCTGCGTACCGTCTCGATCAGGCTCCTGTAGTCCTTCTTCAGAACCTCCGTCTGCCGCAGCCTGATGTCGTTCGCTCCCGCGTGCAGCACAACAGCTCCGACGCGCTCGTCCCCGTTCAGGATCTCGGGAACCTGTGCAGCAACATCAAGAACACGAGCACCAGGAAAGCAGTGAGTGCGCACCTTACCTTTATCCGAATTAGCGCGGACATGGCGGACCATGGATGTGCCGATGATCACGGCGTCATCGCGTTCCGGCTCGCGAAGAGGGGAGAAGCGGTTCCGGGTGGAGATCTCGAAGACCGGGAGGAGCGGAGAGGCAGCTCTGGTCCTGGCTCGTGTCTTCCGCTGTGTGATCCATGGTCCATGTTGCTGTTTCGGTGCCGGAGTGAATGAAGCCCGAGATGATCGCGTCCTGGGCAGAGTAACATACGGAGTAGACGAAGTCGGACTCAAAGAGTTAACGTTACTAACCACTGATTTGTGAGCATCGCCGCGTGATGCTTCAAGCGTTGAGCGCCGATCCAACAGCTCGGCTTGCTTCACCAGCAGACCACGGATCTGTTTGTCGACGTATTCCAGCTCCTGCTTCACCGTGAAGAGCTCGAATGTGTCTTCACCTGGACTCAAAGGTAATGTTAGACACGCATCTGATATGTTCGCCATTATAACAGATGATCAGTAAATTAGTAGTGATACTACAACTATCACTACTAATTTAGGATTGAAATGTCGGAAATAACCAGGATTCAGTGAAACGGGTGTAAAATGAGACGGTCAATAGGCGAGAGGGCACGCGTGGAATGCTAGCGGGCTAAAGGCTAGTAGCCAGGATTAGGAAGGTTGGATATAAGTAGCGATGTCAAAGCAATCCAATTGTTTTTTATAAGGAATACTATCGGGGATTAGTTCACATAATATAAAAATAGAAAGTGCTTGTTTATAAATAAGTGGTAAAGAAGAAAATCAAGGATTAGTGAAGAAATTCTCCGGAGCTACAAACACAAACAACAGATCGCACGCGCAGTCCAAACTCCAAATAGTTGTCTACACTGAAGACACTGAAGCACGTGAGTGTGTCTGGAGTGTGTCGGGAGTGTGTCTGGAGTGTGTCGGGAGTGTGTCGGGAGTGTGTCTGGAGTGTGTCTGGAGTGTGTCTGGAGTGTGTCTGAGGTGTGTCTGGGGTGTGTCTGGAGTGTGTCTGGAGTGTGTCTGGAGTGTCGGGAGTGTGTCTGGAGTGTGTCTGGGGTGTGTCTGGAGTGTGTCTGGAGTCTGTCTGGAGTGTGTCTGGGGTGTGTCTGGGGTGTGTCTGGAGTGTGTCTGGAGTTTGTCTGGAGTGTGTCTGGGATGTGTCTGAAGTGTGTCTGGAGTGTGTCTGGAGTGTGTCTGGGATGTGTCTGGAGTGTGTCTGGGATGTGTCTGGAGTGTGTCTGGCGTTTGTCTGGGATGTGTCTGGGGTGTGTCTGGAGTGTGTCTGGAGTTTGTCTGGAGTGTGGAGTGTGTCTGGGGTGTGTCGGGAGTTTGTCTGGGGTGTGTCTGGAGTGTGTCTGGAGTTTGTCTGGAGTGTGTCTGGAGTGTGTCTGGAGTTTGGAGTGTGTCTGGAGTGTGTTATGAGTGTGTCATATTCATACAGGGCTTCCTTTATCACACACTCGTCACCTGATTGGTCCTGGTTAACTACTTCACTAAAACACTCGTCTTCCTTCTCTTTTGCTTATAATTCTCTTCTTGTACTCTCTCTCGGATCGGTTTTGCCTCCATTGCTGCTTAAACAAGCGAAACAAACATGTAACAGTTAATATTATATTATAGTTAATATTTCCATTTTCTCCACCTGCAAGTAATAACCAGGTTATCTGTTATTATTCATTTGTTATCTCTCCTTTTTCAGTTTCCCAGATAAAATCAAAAAATCAAAAGCAAATCATCTAAAATAAATAAGCATTAAATAATTAAAAAAAACATTTCTGTATATTTGAATATTTAAAAGGGAATTCACAGTTAAAGGCTTAATTGCATACGACAACAAATCATTTTTAAACGTATTCCCAACATTTGAACCCAAATATGGAAATCGATGTGTAACGATGCTATTCTAGAATGGAAGTTTAGAGAAATGAAATGAGTAAAAAATACAGCGGTCATTGAGAAGTGCGAGATTCAGTGAGGCAACCTGTTGATATTACATATCTGAAACAATGCCTGATATCACTGTGACTGGACTGACACCATACAACATGATGACTGCTCACAACTGTTCCACAACTTACTGTTTTTCAGTATCTTGAGCAAAGTAAATGTTGAAATAGGTTAATTTTAGACCATAACGTCTATTTTACAAGCCTTCATTAATATGACCCTTCATTAGTCGATTTATCTAGGTATAGGATTGTTGGTATTGGTGTATTGTAAGTTCTTTAATTTCCATTAAGCATACAGCCTTTCACAGATGACACAAAATGATGTTTTCTAAAAACAAGCAAGCGCTCTATACGAGAGAATGACACGAAGGCAGATTTTTCTCAGTATTTTATACATATATTACATTTTCACTTCTGGATACTTGAATTTCTTTGGGCATCGAAGAACACATGAAAATACACTGCGCTGATGTCCACGAGTCACGCTGTCTGACATCTGCTGTAATGACCTTTTATCATGACCTTCAGGGCTCATATTAACTCCTGCATCAACGATGGGAATTATCATAATCAAAGCCAAGAGCTTTCGATCTGATCAAATGTCCATTGTGCCTTCATTTACTATAGTTTACATGGTATATTAGTCTGGTATTTAGTGTTGTAGCCTTGAGGGAGATAGCACACTCGCTCCATGATGGGTTTACAGTCCTCGCTGCATAAACATGGTCAGATGAGTCTTCTAACGCACAGAATCGAGGTGCCAGAACTGGAGCGCATGCGTGGTCCAGCTAAACACTGCAGCAGAAGAGGAAGAAGACACTTTGAGACATGTGTGCTGGAGCGGGTCTCTCTCCATCCGGTGAGATAGCAGTCATGATGTGTTCATTAATGATCAGGACTGAGACGGATCACAGCTGATCGTGAACCCCATGGCTCGGCACTCGTAAGATTCACGGATTAACTGCGAAGTTTATCTTGCAATGCAGTGAGTGTGTGTGTGTGTGTGTGTGTGTGTGTGTGTGTGTGTGTGTGTGTGAGTGTGTGATCTGCCGGAGCGATCCAGACTGCAGTGAGTGTGTGTGTGTGTGTGTGTGTGTGTGTGTGTGTGTGTGTGTGTGTGTGAGTGTGTGATCTGCCAGAGCGATCCGGACTGCAGTGAGTGTGTGTGTGTGTGTGTGTGTGTGTGTGTGTGTGTGTGTGTGTGAGTGTGTGATCTGCCGGAGCGATCCGGACTGCAGTGAGTGTGTGTGTGTGTGATCGCTGGAGTTCGTCCACACGGCTGTCAGCGAGGGTCATCTTTACTGGTCTTTATGATCGAGCTCGTCTTCTGCACAAGCGGTCCCGCTCTTCTCTTCTTCAGTGGTTTCCTGCACACTACAATACAAAACATACATAACAGTTTGAGAATTGTCTGGCGCCGACCTGAGACGACACAAGCATCTTCAAACACTGGCTATATCAGAGAATACACAGTGTGGATGCTGTCGTTGTGCTCACCGATGGCCTCTACACCGCTGGTTATGAGTGCAGCGTTCCTCCGCTAAACGAGGCTGTTAGCGGACTCAGCATGGCCTATTTCTGTCCTGCTCTCAGTGCCGCTGTGGTCTTTATATTTCTCCAGTGAGCCTGACTACAGTCTTTGTTCTGTACAGTCGCTCCCTGAAGGAAAAGCACACTGTTCTTCATGGAATGACATCAAAAGCCATGCTAGCATATCACATGATCATCAAGCACAGCGTTACATAAACAGCAGCACAGTTTCATTAGCCAGAACATCGTTTCCTTGAGCTACTGCTAATGACGCATCCTCTTGATGAAAGCGGCAAACTTCCTCTTAACTATTTAAACAGCACTAACTCCTTCCTTAATCATTATCATGGCTCTTATTAAAGAGATAGTTCACCTAAAGATGAAAATTATGAACATAAAATGATTTACTCTCTCAAGTCATCCTGGGTGTATATGTCATTCTTCTTTAAGAGGAATACAATCAGAGTTATACAATCTTGAAGTCATGACGGCTATGGACGCGTCGGTCTCGCGGTTCAAACACAGAGCGCTCGTCATCACGCTGTGCGTCAGGTCTAGTGTTGCTCTTTCGCCGTTAATCGATGCGTACGGCCGTCTGCCGGAAGCTAGTTATTTTAGTCGATTAAGTTTTAAATATGGATATTTTTCATACACAAACGCATCACTTCACTTCAGAAGGCTTTTATTAACCCCCGCAGAGCCGTGCCGAACACTTGGATAGATGCACTTTAATGGACTTCCAAAGTCAAACGGCCATTCACTCTCATTATAGAGCGTGGAAGAGGCAGGACATGTTTAATATAACTCTGATTGTGCTCGTCTGAAAGAAAAATTGCATATACCCCCAGGATAACTTCAGGGTAACCTTTAACTGTGTTTTTGATGATTTCAGTAATCATGTCTCCCGACTGGTGAATGAATCACTTGAGTGGGTTTTGTTTCATGAATGTCAAACCAGTTGGCGAACCGGTTCCCGCCCTGAACCGTGTAGATGTAGAACTGCAGTGTGTGAGACACGAGATGCCTGTACTCGGCAGTAAAACACAACACACACAAGAAAACTTGGAATATTTACCCGCAATCCTCTAAAAAACTAGCCTATCATTAGCCTGCGATGCAAAAGATCTTTATGAAGAACAACACCTGCTTGCATAGCTTGGATAAGACTTTCAGAAATGTATAACAAAATAATCAAAACACAAAAAATTGCAAGATTTGCTAGTTCTTTCCTTATAAAATAATTTTTTAATTAAAATATAACATTACATTTATAAAATTTATTCTCTAATGGATTAACGCAGGGATGTCCAATCCTGCTCCTGGAGGGCCACTGTCCTGCAGAGTTTAGCTCTAATCTCAATTAAACACACCTTAACCAGATAACCAAGGTCTAACTAGGCATAGGTGTGTTGAGGCATGCAGGAGCTAAACTCTCCAGGACTGAGTGTGGACACCCCTGCAGTAATGGGTTCTCTAATTCTGGGATCTGAATTAGAGATAATGGGATCTGGACCTGTCACATGACCCTGGGTCCCCAGAAGCCCGCGGGACGACCCGCTGTTCCGGCTGCGCCCGGGCTCCTCAATAATAGATGTGGCAGGTGGTGACACAACACTTCACAGAGTTCATCAATCTTTTATATCACAGCTGTCAGTGTTTGAAGTCTGCTCATGCTGGAATCATGCTTCAAATCCACTCAGACTTTATTTTCACTTTCAAATGTTTTTCTAAATCGAAGAGTTTTAGCAATTTTTGGCCTATTGAGTCATTTCATGTCAACCAGACGTTCCTGTGGAAAAATATTCTTTCTAACAAAAGAAATATCCAAGTAAAGAATGAAGCCATAAATGATGTTTACGGAGTATTTGTCATAGTCATGTCATGTTTAGTTGCATTATCTTGTTCTGTTTACTTTCTATGTGCTGGTTTTTGTCTTTGCCCGTGAGTTCTCAGTGTTTTTGATAATTATAGTGCACACTTGTTTCGTTAATGATCATTCCCAGTGTATTTAAGCCACGTTTCCTCAGATCTATGTTCTGCATTGTTAGTGTTTATTGTGTAGTGTGTATCATGTTCCTGATATTTATTGAAATTCTCTTTAACCTTCATTCTGCATCACTCATCATCTTTGTGGACTTTTACAACATGCAACCAGTGACAGAACTCAGAAAGGATTTATGCGCGGCACACATGTATGACTGTGGGCTGTCCCGAACAAAAGATGACCAGGCGTCGGGATTTCTGTGTCATGTCTTCTGAACGCTGGTCCCACAGTGTCGTACAGTGAGAGAGGCTCAGAGACTGTCTTGTCTGTCAGTGTCAAGGATGGATCATGATCACCTCACAGCTGCGACCTCGTCTACTGACTAGCCAATAAGAATGCAACATGAAATGGCGATTTGATCGACATGGCATTAAAACTTCAAACTTCTTACCTCAAGCTCTGTTTGCAAGATTGTCATGCCAAGCTGTCCTCTTCCCTAGCCATGACATCTCCTTATTCTCCTCTTTCGCTTTCTCTTTTTTTCAGTGCACATAAAAAACACAATTTCCAAAGTGCAATTCATCTTGCTCTATTTGTTTCCCAGCAGAGTGATTGAGATCCCAGCCAGACTTATGCCATGCCTGGTACAGAACTGAAGCCAGAATCGGAGCTCACCAGAGTCTTTGCCAGAGGTCAGTTTCATCCTGGAGCCTGAGCCCATTGTGGAGTCTAGACGGGTGCATGATCTATCATAGATCTAACCCTGCTTTTAACCCAGGGTTAAAAATTGCAGATGTGAAAGCCCTAAATGTAGAGTTTATTAAACACTAAGTCAAGGGTAAATATGAAGGCGGGAGGAGCCAGAGCGGGAGAGCCAGGACTCCGGCCACCCGTGGAGTCAAGGGAGGGAGAGGCCCTGGTGGAGCCTGGGGGACAACTGACTGAGGTGGAGCTGATGGAGCGGGAGAGCCAGGCAGAGCTGACACTGAATACATTCGTATTCCACCAACACTCCCACGGGGAAGAACAATGTTGCCAGCTCATGCACCTGGTCAAACAGGGCTGGCTCTGGCTTTCCTGGGCTCTGGCTCCGGGACGATCTGTGGCTCAGGCACTGGCTCTGGGCTTGGGACTCAGGCTACTAGTCTGCAATGGGCTCTGGTATTACTTATGTTGTGGGCGAACAGTCAAGAATCATGTTGATGAAACCCAGCCGACGGTGAAGGGGGATCCGCACTGCGATAATACCCAGTCAATAAACTTCATTAGCGTCCCACGTGGACAGTCTTCAGACAGGCACGCTCTCATTCACTGTTGAGTCCTGCTCGGAAAAACACACACAGACCGTCATTGTCGTAGTGGACTAGATGGTAGAGATCCAAGAAGACTGAAAAATGGCCAAAAACTCACCACACCTTAAACACTGTCCATATGAGTTTCGCAGACCAAAAAACTCCAAGGGAAATTATTCAAAAATACCATGTACACACCACCAATAAAGGACAACAATTATTTTTAACTTTTAAAGGACAAATATGTTAAGTAATTGTTTATATAACCTTATATTTTTAACTATGGACTGTTAGGAAACACTATTTTGTAATCCAGCATGTTTATTTGTGAATTTTATTTATTTTGTTAAATTGTTTGTAACTTTTTTTTGTTTCAAATGTATCATCATTGAATATTTAATTGATTGTGTATTGAGTTCATTTTGTGTAAAATTCTGTTTAAAAATGTACTTATTTTTGGTTGTTAACATACCCCAGTTTGGTTGACCATGTGATCCATGTAATCATGTGACATCTTAAGATAGCTCTTGGACTGAGCGTTGGGCTTGTTGGACTTGCATCGGCGCCGCACAGAATGATCAGTGTATGACATCACAGACGGCTTGATTCAAGTCCATCAAGCCTATTCTCAACTTGCCATTGAGAAAGGTCACTTGTTTTATCTTATTCTTTGTTTGTCCTTCTCTTCATTGATGGAATGTGCAGGCTTTTTTAATCATTTCCCTTAGAGATCCAAGAAGTCCTGTGAACTCCTGGAGGAAGCGATTCCCCTATGAGAGAACATGGTTTAATCTGTTGCAGCGAGGATCGATGCTGAGGCAACATCGCAGCGGTAACATTTATTTAACACTAAATCAAAATAACAAATACTCAGAGATTCAGGATATTAAACAAAACAAAAGAACAACGTTAGTACATGAGATCAAGCGACGAGAATACTTTTTGTGCGAAAAAACAAACAAAAATAACGACTTTATTCAACTATTCCTTTTCTTCCTTCTGGGCCTGAGACGAGAGTTCAAGAGATTTCCATGACGCATGCGCGAGAACTGAACAAGAAGTAGTAGATAACTTCTTGTGTATATAATTGTTCTATGTCTCTGGTTGCATCTTGTTGTTATAAGCACATTGAAGCAAATCCCTACCAACTTGTACTGAGTTGTGTGGCCATAAAGTATTAAATCCTGAATCCTGTAGAAGAAGAACGCAGTTCTCGCGCATACGTCTTGGAAATCTCTTGAACTCTCGTCTCAGGCCCAGAAGGAAGAAAAGGAATAGTCGAATAAAGTCGTTATTTTTGTTTGTTTTTTCGCACAAAAAGTATTCTCGTCACTTGATAAACTTATAGTTGAGCCACTGTTGTCACATGGAATATTTAAACATTTTCTTCATTGACTTTTTTGGGCCATCAATTTTCAATCCTTTAGGAGCCTATGTAGCAGTGATCCACCTCTCAGATTTAATCAAAAATATCTTCATTTGAGTTCTGAAGATGAACGAAGGTCTTACGTGGTTGGTACAGCATAGGGGTGAGTAATTAATGACTTAATTTTCATTTTTGGGTGAAATATCCCTTTAAGATCTCCATATCTCTGGGATTGAACCTTAAATATGAACATACTAAAAGTAAAGTTTTGTTAAGAATTAGAATCTAAAAGGATATTAAGATATCTTTAATATTCTTGGGTTACAGGCATGCAAACTTTCAGGGGGAAAAGCATACAAAGAGTTTTTTCCCATTTTTGAACTGTCACCATTGGAATATTGCTAAATTCAACAAATTTGACCTAAATTTACCTTTTTTATTCTTTTATGCGACTTCCATAGCTTAGACTGCTTTGAGATTGATCCTGGAGCACCCTCCACAGGCCGCCGCGAGGGACAGAGTCGAATGCCTTCTTCAAATCCACAAAGCACATGTGGATTGGTTGGGCAAACTCCCATGAACCCTCCACCAGCCTGTAGAGAGTATGGAGCAGGTTCAGTGTTCCACGGCCTGGACGAAAACTGCACTGTTCCTCCTGAATCCGAGGTTCCACTATTGTCCATATTCTCCTCTCCAGTACCCCGGCATAGACTTTCCCAGGGAGGCTGAGAAGTGTGATGCCCCTGTAGTTGGAACACACCCTCCGGTCCCCCTTCTTAAAAAGAGGGACCACCACCCCGGTCTGCCACCCTAGAGGCACTGTCCCCGACCGCCACGCGATGCTGCAGAGGTGTGTCAGCCAAAACAGCCCCACAACATCCAGAGACTTGAGGTCTCATCCACCCCCAGTGCCTTGCCACCAAGGAGTTTCTTGACTACCTCGGTGACCTCAGCTAGGGTGATGGATGAGTCCACCTCTGAGCCCTCAGCCTCTGCTTCCTCAATAGTAGACGTGGGATTGAGGAGATCCTCAAAGTATTCCTTCTACCGTCCGACGACATCCCCAGTTGAGGTAAACAGCCGCCCACCTCCACTGTAAACAGCGTTGGGAGGGCACTACTTTCCCTCTCCTGAGGCGCCGGACAGTTTCCAAGAATCTCTTCAAGGCCAGCCGATAGTCCTTCTCCATGGCCCCACCGAACTCCTCCCAGGCCCGGGTTTTTGCCTCCACAACCACCCGGGCTGCAGTCCGCTTGGCCTGCCGGTACCCGTCAGCTGCCTCAGGAGTCCCACAAGCCAGGACTCCTTCTTCAGCTTGACGGCATCCTTTACTTCCGGTGTCCACCACCGGGTTTAGGGATTGCCGCCTCGTCAGGCACCGGAGACCATATGGCCACAGCTTCGAGCAGCTGCTTCGACAATGGAGGTGGAGAACATGGTCCACTCGGACTCAATATCTCCAGCCTCCCTCGGGATCCGGTCGAGGCTCTGCCGGAGGTGGGAGTTTAAGATCTCTCTGATAGAGATGAACATCCCAAACATTCCCAGCAGACCCTTACAGTACGCTTGGGTCTGCCAAGTCTGTCCAGCTTCCTCCCCCGCCATCGGATCCAACTCACCACCAGGTGGTGATCAGTTGACAGCTCCGCTCCTCTCTTCACCCGAGTGTCCAAGACATACGGCCACAGGTCAGATGGAATGACCACAAAGTCGATCATCGACCTACGACCTAGGGTGTCCTGGTGCCATGTGCACTGATGGACACCCTCATTCTTGAACATGGTATTTGTTATGGACAAACTGTGACTAGCATAGAAGTCCAATAACTGAACACCACACAGGTTCAGGTCAAGGGGGCTGCTCCTCCCAATCACGCCCCTCCAGGTGACACTGTCGCTACCCACGTGAGTGTTGAAGTCCCCAGTCAGAGCACTTTCCAGACCCCCTCCCAGAGACCCCAAATAGGCCGGGTACTCTGCACTGCCGTTTGGCTCGTAGGCACACACGACAGTGAGAGACCTATCCCCGACCCGTAGGCGGATGGAAACAACCCGGGGTTCACCGGGGTAAACTTCAACACATGGCAGCTGAGCTGGGGGGCTATAAGCAAACCCACACCAGCCCGTTGCCTCTCATCATGGGCAACTCCAGAGTGGTGAAGAGTCCATCCTCTCTCGAGGAGTGTGGTTTGCATAGAGGTGATCCTGTCTATCTCTAGTCCGAACCTCTCAACCTCACGCACAATTTCAGGCTCCTTCCCCGCCAGCGAGGTGACGTTCCACGTCCCTAGAATTGTTTCCGTGTCCAGGGATCGGGTTGTCGAGACCCCCGCCTTCGACTGCCGCCCGATCCTCTCAGCACCGGCCCCTCACGGTTCCTCCTGCAGGTAGTGAGCCCACGGGATGGTGGCCCCATGTCGCTCCTTCGGGCTGAACCTGGCCGGACCACATGGGGGGAGGCCCGGCCACCAGGCGCTCGCATACGAGCCACAACTCCGGGCCTGGCTCCAGGGTGGGGCCCCGGCTGTGCGACGTCGTGGTCCTTGCTTTGTCTTCACTCATAAGTTGTTGTTTTTTACCGCTCTTAGTCTGACCCACCACCTAGAACGTGTTTGCCTTGGGAGACCCTACCAGGGGCATATAGCCCCAGACAACATAGCTCCTAGGTTCATCACACACTCTGGATCAAAGCCAAGTTGACAGAGCGTTTACACCGAGCGCTGTGAGACCACTGAACCTCATCTAAACCAGGTTGGATTTTTGGATTTGTCGTCTCTAAATCTACTCAGATTTTGCTCAATATCTTCATGCAACAGGCCTCAAATATTTGGTGGTTATGAGCATATTAGTGTGCATGTAAACATCTAAATACAAAACAACGTTTAACCATGCAATCTAAGTTCTAAGAAGAGCAAAATTCGGCACAATACACATACCTCTTTATGGCCTTGTAGAAGATGAAGACAGTCAGGAACAGGAAGACAGTTAAAGCACTTCCTGTCGACCCAATCACGATGATCTCCGTCCACCAGGAGCTCAGCAGAGGAGCAGGAGCCTTCGGAGCTGAAACACACACAGAAAACAGCAGTGTGTGTGGATCATTCACTGCGGTACCTTAAGGTTTTTATTCTAGCATACGTAATGTATTTTACTTCAAAAATGGTTCACACAAGTTGAAAATCTTTATCTATTAAATCTAACTTTGAAGACGGTTCTTTTGTGAGAAAAAAAGCTGAAGACAAATGGCAAAATGCTCCAGTTTGCAATGCAGATAAACTCAGAGATTAGAGATTATTTGTGTTTAGTGTCCATTAAACAATATGCAGAAGGTTTATTATTAGGCTGCTATCCCTTTACGATTAATGCACTGATCCAATACACTCATACACATGCGTTTTCTCTCTCAACTGTTTAAGTTCACTTAAACATAACAGACTGTGTTTACATGGATGTTTTGACATAATTGTGTGTGTATTTGTCAGTTCAAGCACAATAAGATGCCTGTGTTTCCAGTTCAGTTTGAATATTGAAGGTTAGTTTTTGTTTCTCTTGTGTAGTTCTCCAGTGTATGAGTGTTTTGTGTTGCAAACAAATCTTCTATTTGCATCATTGTAGAACCAACCTGTGACAAAAAAAAAAACATCTGTAGTGAATTGAGTGTTGGACGTAAACCCAACAAGAAGCATTAGTTTGGTTAAAGTTGTGGTTGGACATTCTTGTCTCTAATATCTCAAGAAAAGCAGAAATAAGAAAAGACCACCTACTCTTTTGTTTTATGACTAATAATTATACAAACAGCTATAGTTAAGCTACATAATAAGATAAGTAACTAATAAAACAGTAAATGCATTACATTAGAGACTATTTCCAGAGTCACAATTTTTATTGTGGAATAATGTGTATTTTGCCCCAATTTCGGTACTGCAATCACTCACCATTCAATTCCCTAAATCAATCCCTGTCCTACATTTGTTCTTGTTCCAGAAGTGTTTCACTCAGATAAACGGCACAATAGAGGAGAAAATACCAGCTTAACTTTTGTTTCATGCCAACTTTAAAAAGTATAATGACAGCAGCCCATTCACTGTGTTCTGAAGTCTCCTAAGGTCATATAATAGCTTTGTGTGTAATATTTCACAGAAACTTCTTTAATTTTTCAAACTACAATTCAGCTTTCTTTCCACTCAGGTGGGCATGTAGCGCTCAGCATCTTACACAGAGCAAAGGGAAGAGAGTGTAGAAATGACAGTGCAAACACATCAATGGGCCTTTG